ATGATAACTGCTTCAGCTGGTCTTTGTGGAGCTGTCTTTGGTCTTGTAGCGGAGCATGCCGGTAATTTTTGTTCCTCTAATATTATTTATTCCTTGTTGTAGGAATGCACTCTTGAATTTATCATGATTTCTGTGTATACTGTGACTCCATGTCTTTTCTAATCTTTGAGACTGTGATATCCTGTTCAATTTTCTTTCTATGAAATTTGTCAAAGTTTTTACCGTGTTAGCATTACTGACTGTAGCAAAGGTCCCATTTGTAATGACATTTGTGGAGTCTATTTCAGGGTGTTGCTTAGTGGAGTAAATATTGTATGGTTTTGAAAATTTTAGAATTTAAGTCAGTTTTAATCAATGTGTTTTCTTTGTCAACTCAGGAGATTCAACAGCTTGGGTGCTTCCGTTTACATCAGGAGGATTTATCTACATTGCAATGGTGACTATTGTTCCAGAACTTCTACAGGAGACAAGACCAAGGTACTTGTCAAGCCATGCACTTAAACTTGCTTAGCAGAACAAGACAATGAGACAAAGTTTGAGTCCCATGCATTAACAGCAGTCACAGGCCCAGCCACACTTTTCTTAACAATTTGTCCCTCTAAAAGCTGATCGGACTGTCAACACCAAAGTGGACAGTTGTAGAACTTAAATGTATTAAGACAACTGCATGCTTGAAATTGGGGCCCGTCCTTCTCTAAGGCCACGTCAATACAAATCCGGATATTTTTGAAACTGCATTTTTTTTACCAAAATTGTTCTTCCATCCACCAACCAGTGAATCCACTCACGGAAACTACAACTTTTTGAAACTGCTCTTTAGAGCTGTCAAAGCCCCTGTCCACACAAATTTGGGTGGAACAATATGAGGTTTTCAAAATGTCTGGATTCGTGTTAACACTGTCAGGGCTCGCACAGTCTTGAAAAGTCCTTGAATTTTAGGGGAAGTCCTTGAAGAGTCCCTGAACTCTATTTTTCCTTGAAAAGTCCTGAAATTTCTGTGCAAGTCCTTGAAAATTCCTTGAATTTTCTTCAACTTTAAATGTGGATGCCTGGAAAGTGTTTTTTGATGCTCTTTGGTTGTCCAAGACAGAATAATTATAAATCATAGCTCAGAGAAATTAAAGGTTATTTACACAAAGTGCTTATTTACACAAAGTGCTTCTTACATGAGGATTCAGTTCCTCCCTGATGGCAGCCTTTTTGTATTGATTATTACACAAAGTGCTTCTTACATGAGGATTCAGTTCCTCCCTGTTGCCAGCCTTTTTGTATTGATCATTACAAATAAAGTTGTTATAAATAAAAAAAAAATGTTTTATGCAATAATTAACTATCAATTTAAGACAAGTGAACTGAAAAATGTAGAGAACTTGGTGACGCAAACAGTTCAAGCCTTAAAGCCTTATTAGAATAGACTAGGAATGTGCATTTATGTACCCTCTGTGAAATTATATTCCTGGTAGGTGGTCCTTGAAAATTTAATGTGGTCCTTGAAAAGTCCATGAAAAATAGTTGCAATTTTTCAGTATGAACTCTGACTGTGCCTAGGTTTTCTGAAGTTGTTGTTTTCTTGAGTAATATTTTGTTCTTTTCAGGGAGTCTGTGAAGCAAATGGTGATGATGATAGCTGGGATTGCCTGCATGGGACTGGTTTCTTTAATTCATTAGTAGTAAATATATTAACCAAAGGACTAATAAATTGGCAGACTTGACACGGCCTTTGTAATACATTAAACAATGAATTTACCAAATCACAAATTGGTTATTTAAATAAAGTAATAAAAAAAATGTAAATTATATTAGCTTGTTCTCAGTAAAGGCAAGAGGTCACTTTTGAGGTGGAACAATATAATTGTATACGCAGCCCTTTGACTCACAAACAGTACCTAGAAACAGCTGAAGTAGAAAGAAAAAATCAGGGGAACCCAATTTGAATGTTTTGTTAGAATAGCAAGACTGGTAAAGAAGGGTTCCCTAAGATCTGACCCGAAAGCCACTCAGCAGTAATCTCTTTTGTTGCTTTTCACCATGCTTTATGGTGGTTCTGACTTGATTTGTAAATGAGTTAGGCTACTGACTTACAAACAGACTGTTCTTTCCATTGCTTTATGTTATTTCGTACTGGGTCAGTGGTTTTGAATCAATGGGCAGAGTCCAAAATTTTGACATTTAAAGGGAAGCAAACCAAAGTGGGGTATAAAGCTATTTTTCACTCAGTGTTGTTTTATTTAGTACTCGTTTCATACAAATTCTTATTTTCCATTTGTTGCATAACTAACTTACAGATGCTCACATTTCAAACTTGGGCTACCTGTGGTCCCATTCCCTCTTGGAAAAATTGTAAGTATTGTGCTCCAAAATGCATGTCACAAATCATCAGCATTTTAATAGAGAAAGACTGCAAGCAGTGTTTATTTTGAATGTTCATTCCCCGTTCTTATGAATTAACCATATCGCTTGATTGATAATTGTGGTTGTACGGTTACTTTGCTGCTTTCTGGGAATCCTTCATTTTCTCTTGTCTATTCTGAAATGTGTAATTTATAAAGCTCCTTATGTTAGATATGCAATATTTTAGTATTTCGTTTGGGCTTAGAAGTGTATTTTTTGATGTGCAACTAATGATAATTTTATTAATGGGGTAAAAAGAAAGCAAAGTTAACCTTAAAGTAATTGTACTTTTTTCCCAACCTCTTGGGAATCTGCCATCTTACAAATAATGTAACATTTTATTACGTTAGAAAATGTGGACAGAGTGCGAACGAGCTCTCTTGTCAGAAGAGAAAAATTAAAGGGAGTTCCGAGTTCCAAAAATTCTCACTTTCAAAACGAGGCTAAGTGCGAAACCTTTCTTGTGAAAATGAGTTTTAACTGCATAAAAATTCCAAAAAAAAGATTTTCATATCAATGGCTTTGTGCATAGCCTCGCTTTTCAAGAGAAGCTTAGGGCAACTCGAAAGCATCATTTCCTTCTGATCATCTGCGTTCTTCACAGCATTTTCCGGTAGAGAGCTTAATAGATGGATCACAGATTATTTTGCAGTCGATCAGAACCAAATTTATCTCGGCAGTTTCGAAAGATTTTAAAAGAATGTAGGGGGGCGGGGAAAATGACTTGGGTGGTTCAACTTGGTACAAGGTGTGTGACTTTGAAAAGGTACTGATTACCTTGATTTTGTTATAGGACACTTAAATTGATACAAAGTATTTAAAAATAAATTTTAGGCAGCTATAGAGCCACGTATTTTAACACAGAATTAGATCTCTGATGACTTGACAACAAGTCAAGTCTTTGTCAAGCTCAAGTGCAAACCTATCTATTTTTAAACGGATAGCAATTAAATTGTATATAATTTATTTAGTTGTAGACAACAAAATTTATGAAAGAGATTCGAAAAACATTAAAGTAACTTTCAGTGTGATTCTTTCCAACTTCTTCGTACCCATCTCACAAATACTTGAGGTTTTAAACTTATGAGCTGAAGATACCACTGACTACTGAGGAAAAGAATTTTTGAACACTGATGTAAAGAAAACTTGGGAGTGTTCACAGCAGCGCTCATAATCCTGCTTAGTTTTCAAACTTTGAGTCCAAACTTTGAATAATATGCGATACATATTTTTCGTTGAGGAATGTGTAAAAGGAAAAGGAAAAACATGGCAAAATTATCCATTTTCTCGCACGGTTTTCCCCTCCAGCGAGCAGATTTGAAGAACGACCCACCAACCCACCCTGACGAAGTCGTGCCTACCTCGTACCCAGACGTCTCTCTCTCTCTTGATGAAAATGTGCGCGCAAAGGAAGGCGGGAAGGAGACAACGGGTGAGACTGGCTTCGCCTGCCGTCTGTACCCTTCCCATGGTCACTTGCGCTTCATCGCCAGTCACTCGCGTTTCGCGCTCGCCTCTAGCAAACGAAGCGCCTGAGGAGGAGGCTGATTTTGTTTAGAGTGTTGCTGTGTACGCTAGTATTTCTTACGCGCATGGCCAGCTACTCAACCAAAAAACACTTAGCAGTACATAAAAACCGAGTAAGGGAGTGGTAAACTATTTACAGAGAACACATCACGCCGAGATGACGCACCCTCGAGAGGCCTGTCTCTTGAAAGTCCCGGTAAAACTGTTTGCCCTTGAAATCAAATATTCAAATCAAAATCTAACGCACTCCACGGCATGTAGACTGCAAGCAGTCTCTCTTTTTCTTCCGGTTTAGTAAGGGGAGTGCACGCGCGCGAGAGAGACGCGCGAAAAAAGAGACTGCTCGTAGTCTACACGGCATGTGTGAATAACGCAGTCGGACTGTCCTTCAATAAATAAGTGGGGCAAAGAGCTTTGAAGAAATCTATCTATCCCTATCTTAAAAACTGAGAACCAGGCGCGTGAACCGAGAAGAAGCAACGGCAACGGAAAATGTTAAAAAATTAATGATGACTAACTTTTTTGTTCCCTTTCTAAACTTGCGTGCGGTCCCTTAAAAGTCAACTCCATAAAAGTTCATCTACCCCCAGTTGGCAGTCTATGCAATTACGGCAGCGACGTAAATAAATGAAAGAAAAGTAAAATTTGGTCAGTTTTCATCGTAGTTATGCAGAAGACGACAAAGAAATGTACCAAATAGAGTGATGCACACCTTCTGGTTACCGTCAGGAGGGGACAAATTGGAAACAGAAAAGGAGTAGACTACGAGTAGTCCCCCATTTTTCCTCAGGAATAGTAGAGCGAGCGAAACGCGAGCGCGCGTAAAAATCACCCCACGCGAGAAAAGGCGAGACGCGGCCTTGAAAATCACACCACGCGAGAAAAGGCCGCGTCTCGCCTTTTCTCGCGTGGGGTGATTTTCACGCGCGCTCGCGTTTCGCTCGCTCTACTATCCCAGAAAAGGGGAGGAGAAAAAAACGACATGAAGACAGTGAACCTCCTCCCCCCCTCCCCGATTTTCGAATTACAAATACAAAACAAGCATACACCAAAACGTTTGAACGTTTAATTTAACAATCATAGTTCCATCTGACAATATTGTGGTTTAATAATTTTCCTTATAAGGCTAACCCACTTTTTATAGTCGCTTATTAAACAGTTCATATGAATTATGCGGAGTCGGTTCCGGGTGGTGTAACTCGCAGCTTTCCTCCGTATTTTGCCTCTACTTTTTTCAAATCGATGCCTTTACTCGCCGGAAGATGCCTGAATCGACATTTGTCCTCAAAGTAACAACCTGTTGTACGCCAGAAATAACACTCGTCTCCATTTACAGGACCCGAGAGTTTGCTTGCTGTTAATCTAGCATCCCTAGACAAAAAAGAGGACAAAAAGAAAACTGGTAAATTCACCTTGTATGCAATTTAGGGGAAGTTTACATGACACCGGCGCGAGTTCACTCCGGTTCCCTCTCGTGGCTCTATATTTGTTTACATTATACTGCCACAAAATGTCATGCCGGCGCGAGTCACACCGGCGTGAGTTCACCTCGGTTGTTGTACTGCAGGGAGAATTTCACTCCGGTACGAAATTTCGTAACGGTATCATGTAAACGCGAAACTACCACCCGGTTTCGGTCTACCGGTGGACTAGAACGATTAGCGCATGCGCAGTTTTCGTCAATTCAGGATGGCGTTTATGTTGGTCATGGCATAACTGAGGTTAAACAAATATCAGTTAAAGGTAAAGGGCGACGAAGGCATCGAAAACTGCACCGATTAAGTGGATTCGCGTTCCTTCAATATTTATCACGATTATTCAATCTCTAGAAATTCTCCTCGAATAACAGCTGAATTCTTAGTGGCCTGAATTCAAGTTCAGAAAGAGGACGAAAACTTGGTCGTCCTCCGCTAAAGTCCTCCACAAATTAGGACGTTTCACATCGTTGTTGTTGTACAGTGACGCTAAAGAAATGTGCTGGAAAGCATGATGCTCGTCCAGAGTGTTGTTTTTCTTAAAAGCCTATCCCTTTCTTGACGTTCTCGTTGCTGTCGCCGTGGTGATATCTTAAACTTTCTAAACTTAACACAACTTACACATCCTGTTGTTTCTTTTTCAGAGGAGGCACAGGGATGGTATTATTAAAGACGAATTGACTGCCTGGTGAGCCTGTGTTGTTAGGATACCTCAGAAGTAAAGCTTCACCTCCAAGCTCGTGGCCCTACGAAGGGATAAGAAACGGTTAACACCTCGCGTTTTCTTTGCTAAATCTGCATAATGGCGCCTCCACTGATACGGTTCAGTAAAAAGGTCAAATATGGTATAAAATTTTTGAACGGAAAACCGATTGTCAAAAACATTTTTCCTTCAAGTCCTTTCCCAAAACCGCTCTGGTGGTGAATCTCAATGATCGTATGGGTTTGACTTAACCCTCCCAAAACACACATCCCTTTTTTGGTTTCAGAAATCTGAAGTTAGATTCCTTTCCCATCCAAAAAAAAGGGAAGGGCGCGGTTGCAGAAAAAGTGTTTTTTTTTTTCCTAAGCTAAGCTTATCCTTCTTACATTGCACTGGAAAAATACCTTTAGACCAAAATGAAAAAAAACAACAAAAAAATACACAGCAAAGGTGGAATTTCAATGTAACATGTACCTGTAATTTTTCAAGTGCTATAGCAGCCGAATCAGCTTTTTCGAAGTTGACAAATGCACAAAACCTCTTAGGAAGGATCCGTACATTATCGACATGGCCGCATCTGCTAAAAAGCTGTAGTAAATGCCTCTCACTGACGAGTTCAGGGTTAACGTTGCCAACCCACAGCGAACGACACGAGCCATCACTGCTACTACTTTCACTTAATCTGAAGAAATGAAAACCAAAACTTAGTTACAATCTGGGACGAATAAAATCCCCTTGGAATATACATACATATATACACAGTAGTTCTGCATCAGCTGAATCAAGTAAATGTATGCACATGTAAATCTTTTCATATGAATCTTTTCTTTATAAAATCGAACCCCGCTTTACGGACACCTCGTTATTACGGGCAGTTTTCCTTTTCCCTGGGGGAAGTAAACCCTCAAATTTCCCCCTCAGTGTCCGTATTGACGGGGTTTGACTAACACAGCTTTTCTGGACACTATACCAAGCTGCAGAGTGTCCTGCGCACAATGCCTACGTAAGTATCTGACACTGAATATCGATATCCCATGCGTTACTATCGCCCCTGAGTACATCAGGGACCTGGTCTCACTCAAAGCGCAAGGTGCTTACAATCTTAGAACTACTAGTGGAATACTGTTGGTCACGCCCTCTAGTAAGACTAGGGTAACCCTAGGCGACAGATCTTTTCAAGTCACAGCGCGGAGTTCCGCGCCAAGGCAGATGTTAATACTTCCAAGTGCCATCTCAAAACCCATCTTTTAAGATCGCTTATGACTAATGTCATGGTATCGAAGTTTGAAATTATTAATTTTTCTTCTTTTTTGTTCCACTTCCTCTAGTTTTATACTTTTATAATTGTGATTGTAAGATATTCAGTTGCATTATATCAATTTTATGTAAATTGCAAGGGTTCATGCAAAAAATTGAAACCATTTTTCAAGGACCACATTAGATTTTCAAGGACCACCTACTAAGAATATCATTTCACAGATTGTACAAAAATGCACGTTATCAGTCTATTCTAATGAGGCTTTAAGGCTTGAACTGTTTGCTTCACCAACTTCTCTACATTTTTCAGTTCACCTGCCTTAAATTGATAGTTAATTATTGAATAAAACATTGAGCACTTTGTGTAAATAACCTTTAAATTCTCTGAGCTATGATTCATTTTCTGTCTTGGACAAGCAAAAAGCATCAAAAAACACTTTCCAGGCCACTAAATCCAAACTTGAAGAAAATTCAAGGACTTAGGATTTAGGAGGATTTAAGCGCAAACTGACCACAGTCTTGATTGGCAAGTTACCTGGGATGTTGTTTTTGCTGCTCATCCTCTCCATCAGATACATATATTTCCGCTGTTGCAGGTGAGCTGACTTTTCCTGCTAAAAGCGCTTCGAGAGCTGCCTGAACTGTACCAAACGCCTGAATTGCCGCCTCACTTTGACTCTGAGGGAATCCCATCTCCTACGTAGTCACAGAGAAATTTAAACAATGCAGACTAAGTTACTTTAAAATAGCAGGAATATCCAGGGCTTTAAGAAAGGTGTAAGTGATAAACTGGCAAAAAAAACCCTCGCGAATGAAAGAATTACCTGAATGAAGAGAGCTCGATGAAGCAGTGAGAATAGCTCCAGACGGTTTACAAACAATTTGCCCGAAATACATACTAAAGTCGCCCAAAATATTGAGTTATGTTAATTTATTATGCTCACCAACATTCTAACGTCATTAAAGGCACTTCTTTTGTCTCATCATGGCTTAAAGAACGAGATACATTACACACAAGTTGCTTTATTTCACCTAACCTCTCTGTGTATTATACCTGATAAAATTTCGAACGACATATCTTTAAATGTTGGGCGACAAAACTCTAGTTTTGGGCATCATACAGCTTCGGGTGAGAGGACTTTTGGGCGACTTGACCACTTACACTTAAGACCAAGGAATGGCTACAGATTTTAGGAGCGGTACATGTATGTGGAAACACTAGCACTGGATTGAGCACGCTACCATCTGAAATCTATGCACTGGATGTAAAATGAATGAGCAATTTAAAAACTGCATGACGAATAGCCGAGAGAAGTATGACCTGAAACTCTTACGCCCTATCATGAAAAACACGCAAAGTGCATACCTCCAATTGCTGGACTCGCACTCTTGCCAGTTCAAACATAGCATCTTCACAGTGCTTATCAAGTTTTAACACCTGAGCAAAGCTGGTCTCTGCGTCAGAATATAACTGAAAAGAGAAGGAACTGTTAAAATGGACACAACCTCAGGATTTAAATCACATACAAAATCAGCCTTCTGTTGTCAGAGCGAATGATGGACTCTTGTACTGAGGCAGTTCTAGCTTTTCCGTCGGTGCCCAAAAAATCGTTTCTTGAGACGTACCATGCTAAATGAAAAGTCTTTCTGGACACATTTGACGAATAGGAGAGTGAGTGATATTTGATGCCACTCCCGACACAGCATATTTCAATCATTTTCCCCCTGTGAATTTATTATATGCTTCAAATCCATTCAGGCAAAACAAGTCGACCTTGTGATGAGAAGCCTGTTTGGTCACCAGCCTGCGCGACCTCATTGAAGTTCACTTCGCTCGCTTTTAAGAACTTCATGAGAGGTTAACTTGTACCAAGTCTAGTGCACTAGGTTTTGTAATAGGGATCTGCTGTACAAAATCAACAGAACAACACTACAGACATGCATAACAATGTTATGATGCACCTTTAAACCTGCTAATGCTCTGCCTCTTCTGAAATACCCTTTTGGCCAATCAGGAGCAAGTGAAATGGAGACATCAGCATCCTGTAGTGCTTTTTCATACTGACCCATTCGATCATAACAGTAAGAGCGGTTTCCAAAAAATCTGTAACAGAATCATGAGATGCTTAAGTTAGAAAACAAATCAAACATTCCAGCCATTTGTAAGCAACCAAGGTTCTGTTTTTTATTCATCCTAAAGAAAACTGAAGCATTTCATTGTAGTTCATACTTCAGGTTAATATTACTTATCAAGACCAGGATTTTTTAAGAATATGAAACAAATTTCAGTTAAGTAGAGTTAATTCTTAATTCCAGTGCCTATGGGATTTAAACTTTTTGAATTGACAGATGACAAAGCCTCCACAGAAAAGAACACCCACCGATAAGCCAGATATAAACCAGGTACTGCATAAGCTCTGATTAATTTCAAAACCTCTTTTCTCTCGTTCTAAAACTAAAAAGCAAAACTTACTTACAGACTGTGTCATGAAGCAGCTGTTTACACAATTGTACAAACAAACCTGAAGTCCTTAGCATCCAGATTGATAGCTTCAGTAAACAGATCAACAGCAGCTTGGTAATTACCAAGGTTTGCCATCTCGTTTCCTTTAACTAAACAGAAATGAAGGAGAACTGAGCAAGGGTGGTACCATAACCTCCTTGTAATAAGTGGCTGGGGCAGTCTAGAACGATCTATTCTTAGCCTTTTGAACCTCATTTCAGTCCAAACATGAGGTGGGCCTTTGACCCTCTGCTTCTGGAATTTGTCGTTGGTTGAGCCAAAAAGCTGGTGATTCCTCTTAACTTTGACTGTAACCCTCCGCCCAGTGATTCATGTGTGTTGAGAGTTGTTGATTGTGGACCCTGCTCCAACAGTTTTTCCCTGGGTTTTCTGGCTCATCTTTCCTCACAAAACCAACATTTTAAATACCAATTTGATCAGAGGGAATGGTGGGCAAAGAGCTACCTAAAATATGTCCTTCCACTGAATCATCATCATGACATCATCATTTACAACACCATAATTAATAATAAAATGCTGCATATTAACAAATAATTTAGCTCTGTCATGTGGCAATTAACTATTTTGGTCATATTAACCCTTTATCCAAAACATATTGCTAGGTCCCCTTATCACATCACAGGTATTCACTAGCACTTGAGTCTCAAGGTCGGAGAAAGTCAGTTCACTATAACCACTATCAGAGCCACAGTCCTACCAACCTGCTACTTGTCTGCTGCGTAGTACCACAGGGTCTATTTGTTCTGCAGGTGGTATCTGATTGGAGCTGTTTTTAGCAGTTTGTGACGTTGGGCCATTAGTAACAGGTGTATTATTTTTTACTGTTGTTGGGTTGGAGACAGGGACTGTGGGTGGATTGCGACCAGCAGCTCTCGCAAAGAAAGCACTAGACGTATCCCATGTTGGCTCCTAACAGAGAGCACAGTATGATAAGTATTAGGAGTTAGTTAACCTGAAGTATCTGTAAGTGACATTGCTGGGTGTCTGTATGTGGCTAAGGACAAAGTCTTACACAGGAGTATTTACTAGTCTAGTCAGATATTTACCAAGCTACATCTTCAAAAGTATCCCCAGTTTTCATTTTTAGTGCAATTTGAACCAGTGATAAGCTCATTTTCTGCTAGTTAAATTCGCCAGTAGTCCCCTCTTAGCTACTGTACATCCCTGCTAGTATAGATACTTGGTTCCTATACTTGTGAAAAGTCTTGACTATTTTTGCTCCTTTCTGGTTGGGATGCCAATCAGTAGTGGGAATTCTTAAAAAAAGTTATAGTCTTACATAACCAGTTACAGTGGTTTGCAATTATTGTTTTCGACAAAAAGTGTATATCTTAGAAATTCTGGATAATCTAGGTTTACAACTTTTAACATTACACAGCCTAACCTCTCCACCTGATAAATCCTCATCTTCGTGTCTGAAAAGAACATTTTAAAAGCAACACTCAGAACAGTAACTCTATCAAGTGTCTAAGGATGCATTCAATTGAGATGATGTGGATCACGAACAGTGACCTGAAATCACTTGGATCAATTAGAACATAAAAGAAACCGACCAATCCACCCTGGGAAAGGATTTATCGGTTCATTTGATGCACCATGGTCTGTGTGATCTCCCATCACTGATTCAAAGGAATACACCCTAAGTTAGTTTTATTTAACTGACTCCCACATTTAACCGGATTGAATCAATCTATGATAAACCAGATCAGTCTCCATACTTCTTTGCCTCAGTGATGCAGCACCAAAGTTAGCAAATTGTTAGCTCGCCTTACCCTCTTCTTCTGGTGAATTTGACAATAGTCCTTAACCAACTTCATTAAACATTCTTTGAACCAACTGTCTTGATTATGGTTATGTCACTGATTTTTGCCAAGATCCACCTCCCTTCCCATCAATTTCAGCTACTGAATGTCCGTTGATGGACGTAGGGTTTCCATATTGACCTCCCATTGACCACTTACCCTAACCTCCCAAAAAAGCCTACCAGAAGGAATGGTACGACTGAAATTCCACACGAGCTTTGTTTTGAAGGTTTCAAGACTTCCCCTAAACTTGACATGAAAGAATTCAATCTGACATACAGACACTAGCTCTCACCCTCCAACCAAATTCAAAGTGAGAGAGAAAGAGTGGTGAAACACTCTCTCCTCAATACCTATTGATAGTTAAATATTAACAGTCTTAGAAATTGCAACATTTCAGAATGGAAAGGCTTACCTTCTGGATGAATTTTGTTCTGTTTTTCCAGATTGCTGTAAATTTGAACTATTTACACAATGTTCTTTGAGACCACTTGATAATTTTGTATTGTTATTTACAGTTTTGTTTGTAGCTGTTGACATATTCTTTTTCTTATCCACATCTTTAGCTGATGCTTTATTATTAACTTGGGTATTTTCTTTTTTATTATTCTTTTCCTGAAAGAGAGCAGATCATAACATGAGCAGCACATCAGGGGAGGGGGTGGCTGTAACAGGGTGTGACAAACCATTCAGAAAAAAAAACTGTAATTTGTTTACCCACAAAGAACTTAGGAGATCTTAAGAACTTGTTTAAATGTGTCCGTGCAATCAAGATCAAATTTGAATTTGGAAATGTTGGGTTTTGAGGAAGGGAAAACCAGAATTCCTGGAGAAAAAAACCTCTCTGAGGAAAGGAAAGAGCCAACAACAAACTCAACCCACATAAGGCAGTGATGCCAGGTTTTGAACCCCAGCTACACGCTACATTAGTGAGAGGTGAGTGTTCTGCATTACGGTTGCTTCACTAGAATGGACTGAAAACAATAACCAACAAAAGACAAGACAATATTTATTTGAAGTCTTGTAACAGCTGGTACATCAACTTTTTCCAAAAAACATAGCTCACATATAAATGGCAGAACCAAAAATAAACACAAACCTAATGAATTCCCAGGTCAAAGAGGAGAAGATATCAAATCAATTCCTAAAACATCCAACACATACCTGTATATTTTCTTTTTCATCCTTTGCTTTTTTCTCCCTTTCCTTTTCTCGTTTTCTTTCTTTGTTTCTCTGTAAAAAAATTATAGTGTTAAACAACTTCATGAAAAACCTGTCTAGATACTTGAAAATCATATTATTGTAACTTGATGAGAATTCTGAATCCTGAATATATAGTCAAAAGATATGATTAACAATAAATGTTAAAAATCTCCAGATCATAAAATAATACCTTTATGCAAATAAAGGCCTTATCAGAAATGAGAAGACAGAGGTTTGACTTTGAGCTGTCTTTGTACTAGAATTCTGTTGGAATTAGGATTAACTAGAGAGAGGCAAGTTTCAGCAAAATGTCCAATAAAGTTATAAACTTGCATCTTTGACTTCTTATATGTTAAAGAATAAAAACAAGACCTTCTTTTTAGCTCTTCTTTTTTCTGCCTTTTTACGGTCTCTCTCTTCTTCTTCTATAAGCTCATTAGCATTTTTCATGGCTTCCTGTTGAATTGAAAATGATTTCTGTTACAAAAAAGCTCACTCTACTTTGAGGAAAAGTATGTTATTAAAAGACAACAGCATCAGTACATTCTAATACAATGTCATCATTGATTCTTGTAGCAAAGGGTTGCTTCCTTCAAGCAAACCAAACATTTTTTATTTGAACTCCGCAGCCTGATGCAATTGTGTTGCAAAAGAGATTTGATAAAAGAGGAGAAAGGGAAATAAAGCACTTGAACTCACCGCCTCTGATAAGTTATGTGCTGGTTTTTCAGCTAGACAAAAGATAACAGTGATATGTCAATGTAAAGTAGCTATCACTCAAATAAACATTAGGATACCTATACATACAAAAATTATCAATAAGACAGGGAGAATTTGATAAATGAAATAGCAAATATGTATAAAGCTGCGAATGGTGTTTTTTTAGTCAGCAACACGGGCGACTTGGACATAAAAAATCCTAGGTCTTGATCCCAACAGGAGATGAGCCTATGACCTTCTGGTTAGTCCAGAAGCTTCGCTACTGGACTACAGTGGACTTCTTGAAGGTAGGGCCCACCTACCCCTCCCCTAAGCCAACATTAACACTTACTTCTCACTCAGCACAAAATGTTGGCTTAGGGGAGGGGTAGGTGGGCAATTTCCCAGAAATATTAAATGATTCCTTTAACTAAGTTCAGGTGACAAACGTCCTGCATACTGCTAGGACTAGAAACTCGACAGCTGCATATGGGCAATTATTTATATAAGATGGGGAATTTTAAAGCTGATGAATACAAGAGAATTATGTTTATTCAATCAGTGGTACAGGCAACTCACCATTATAAACCATATTTTTTCAGCTATAAGCCGAGTGATCTTTACACAAATTAAAGCTAAAGTTAAGTGAAATTTGAGCCCTAGAGGGGGTCTTGGCATGTAGCCAAGCATTTTTGAAAAAAAAAATCCCTTTGAGCGCAGTAAAACTCTTCTAAATGAGGATAATGGGGATGTTTTCACTTATAAGCCCAGCTATTTAGCTTACAAAAAAAACCAAATAGCAGCAAAAGATCAACTCAGTCACGTAACTATGAACCTGAATGATAAGTTAGCTAAGCTCAGAAATTGAGTCCCACATTGTCAAGATATCTAACAAAAACATGTCTCACAGTATTAAAATAACACATTAGTAAGCTTTTTACAATAAGGGAAGGTCTAGAACAAATGAAAGATGTCACAAATTGTGTAAATAATTGGCCATGTTTTGTCACACATGTGCTTCGAAACATCTGCCTGGTTACTAAGCACAGATAAACACAATGCGAACTGCAGTTTGTTTTGATTGAAAGGCAATTTCAGTGACCATTTCAAGCATAATCTTTGAAGACATGAGGAAAGACTGTTAGCAGCGAAAAAACCATCATTTAAACTTTGATCATGTGAGCGGGTTTATGTCGTTTTAAGTCAACCTGTTAAGGAAATCGGCAATCTGTTTGAACGCTTTCCAAAGCCGTTAGAAATTTTTGCCCACCTGTTAAAAGCATTACTCAAACCATTAAAATGCTATGAAAAGCCGATAACAAGTCATTTATCAGCCGTTAGTTTTTGCCTGTTTAACGGAAAAGCATTAGTGACATTTTCCTGAGGAAGGTTACATTTTTTTTGAAAAATGTTAGGTGTTACTGTAGTTAAAAGTCTTGTAACGAATGGGTCTTGGCTTATAGCCAGGTGTTTTCGATTCGTTTTCGTTCTTGGTCATGCTGATTCTACCTGTTCAAAGTTTAGGGTCTCTGCTTATAGCCGAATAAATACGGTATATCGTGTACAAAACTTTTGCAGAGAAAAATTACAAGAAATGTGGTAACAATAGCCCACGTTCAAAATTCTAACATGTCTCAGGGAATTTCTGGTCATTTTTCTATATTTGGTTTGTTTTTCTTTGTACTCAAGTCTCTTCTCGGAATTACAAAACATTGGATTTGTGAAAAATTTGCAATTATGTCTCTTACCTCGGAGTCGTGTGAGAAGTTTAATATATCAAACCTGGGCTATTAAACAAAGTCTCTCTCTTCACTCTCACTTGAAAACAACCTAACTTGCATACCTGTATCTTTTTCTGTGACTTTTCTTTCATATTTTTTTCTTAGCCTACGAGCTATACTTTGAAGAACTTCGTCGTCTACTTCATCATCGTCATCATCATCTTCATCACTATAGTAACTGTCATCTGAGTCATACATTGAAGGGTAGCAGCCAAACATTCCTACATAGAAAAATAAACACACAACTTTTTAACCTTACAGATAATATGCTATGATTATGTTTACAACTACAGTAAGAACTTGATAACTAACCTGGCCTCAAAAACTAACAGAGGATTTAATAATATTGTCTCCCATCATTTAGTGAAATTTAGTTGCCCAAAACCTCTATTTTAGTTGCCAATGGAAGAATATTGTAATTGCCCAAAACATTCGGCAGAGACTAACAAAATGAAAGCTAATTCTGTGATGAATATTTGCAGAGTGCATGTGGCTCCTTGGAGAATTAAAAGAGAACCAATGAATTGAAATACCTGTCATTTCTGTCATGACTTAACAAGTAACTAAAAATTAATTTTTTTTTTGTTTATAGTCCAATTAAAAAAATAAACAAAATCTTTGAGGAATTTTTTGAGCCCTGGTTGCTGAAACCATGCAACTAAGTTTCCAAACTTCCTTGCCCTGATGAAACTATAAGTTACCCTAGCAAGTTAGCAACTATTAACATCAAGCACTGATTAAGTGATTCAACAGTTAGATAACACCACAGATGGCACAAGAACTACTGGACAGTTACAACAGGATAACATACAGTATGTACCTTAGGGAAAAAATTAAAACACAAGCTGACGCTTTAAAATATATAGAGTGATGGAGAGTGATAGAGTGGAGTAGAGTGATGGCAATAGAGACTTACCATTTCGGTGAAAGAAAATGTGGGCAAAGAGGTCAAACATATCTGCCTGCAAGTGTAAGTTGAAAGAAATGTACATATTTTACTTGACAAAATCAATAGCACACAAATAGGTTTGGTTTTAGTATACAAAAGTAGCTAATAAGAATATCCAAGTGATCCTTAATTACACTGTACTTTGTTGACTGCAGTCACTTCTAAAAAGGACATAAGTCATCTGTAAATACAGTGAAACCTCCATTAAGCGGACCCCCAATTAAGTGGACACAAAGCTGGGTCCTGAAATTAACGTCTTATATTTCCTTTTATAATGAACCCCTATTCAGCAGACACCTCTATTAAGTGGATGCGGACACTAAAATAAATTGTTATTTGGCTAATTTCTATTGTTAAAAACCTCTATTAAGCAGACACCAGACTGAGTTGAGAATAGTAGTATTGGATTATGTCCTTAAAATACGTACTGTAATCGATTAATAAAGACATAGACCGATATCGAACCACATGATTGTCATCCGCCATCAAAGTTCATCTAAAAGTATTGCACAAGTACATCACAGCTCAGATCCCTCTCTGGCTAATTTTTAACAACATGTAACTTTATCACAGTACAGAGTAACCATTGAAAGTTAATTATTGTTAACAAACATCGCGCAATTTTACAAACCTCTGTTAAGCGGGCACCCTCTATTAAGCAGACACTTGGGAAGGCCCGAAGGTGTCCGCTTAATGGAGGTTTCAGTGTAGCTAGAAAAACAAAGCAATAAAAACAACCTCTGGTGAACTAAAATCTGAAGACTTTCTTTCGGTAGTCCCATTTCCACATTGTTAACTCACTATACCTCCAACAGACAAACAACTCAGGGTTTTGCAGTTTTGCAGCTTGTCCTTGGGGCAAGCTGTACATGTAACAAGCATGTGCTAGCTCAGAGTCATTTTGACTCACCCAAAAAGAATTTTTGATGCAATGAGTACATTACGGTTCTTCTGTAATTTGAATTCCCCCCCAAAAAAACTTCACTTGCCCATCAGGCAAGTTAAGAACAGAATTCAGTAGCTCAATGGCAAAATCCACTATCAGGCATGACTTTCTTTGCACGCTGTAACTCAACCCTTTCTGCGAGTTCTACAGGTGTTAAAGCCAAAAGCCACTTCCACTACTGTAATGATGAAAATTATAATCTTTCTTAGTGATAAGAAAACCACTTAATATGCTGCAAGAAGTTGTAACAGGAACTTTAAAACTAAAAAATCTTTTACATTTTGGCCAAATTTTGGGCTATTAGTACATTTACTTACGGCAGTTAAATTAACTTCATCATCACTGTCTTCACTGGTTAGTCTCTTGTATGCTGAAGAAACTTCTTGGAATTTCTAAAAGAATAACAATATTATATAGGGTTATTGGAGCTTTCACAAGCTAACAAGATAAATAAACTACTAAGGGCAAGAAAACCTTTTATCAAAATAGTAAGAGAGCCAGTGCATAACAGGAAGCTTAAAGAACCATCACAATATAGCATGATCACAATCAATTTGACGTCCTTTCAGAACTTGGCCAAACCAAAAAATTGTTGTATCCAAATGTTTACCAGTTTAGCTGTACAAGAAACTATTGCAGACATAAATTTTGCTTCACCAAAGCAAGAAAATGTTCTTTAATCACTAAAGCAAAAGCATAATATTCTGATTCTGACACATCAATGTTTCTAAGTATAGATTTATTAGGAAAAGCAATGATTTCTCATCGGGTCTGATTATAGGGGCAAAAACAGTGTATATCCACAACACAATATTCTGTCCATTTTTTTACAAATTATCATTTGCAAAAAGGACATAGGTTATAAAAAGAGAGCTTGATACATACTTTGGTAGCTTCTTCACTATTGTTATGTTTGTCAGGGTGCCATCTTAAGGCAAGACGTTTATAACTTGCCCTTATTTCATCGTAGTCTGCGCCTAAAAATGATACGATACAAAACAGCTATCAGAAAATAATAATAAGTTCAAATAATAATAATGAGTTTGAATCAGAGACAATGGAGTGCCTAGTTCATTTGCTCCTGTAAATTCTGCAGGGATGCCAGATAAACCCTAATAATTTATGCAAACAACATTGTGGCATATGAACTCACCCTGCCTGTGATTTGGGTGGATTCTTCAAATGTGAAGGCACAAAAGTCAATTCAATGAACAAAAAATAAAACCCACAAAAAGCTAATTTCAAACAATTAACCCTCTAATGCAAAAGAGCTCATGGTTAAAAAGCCCACCTGGATACCAGTCCTACAGCTTAAAGACCAATTTACAAGTAAATGAAAGAGAAATCCCTCATAGGGGTCCTATTTCCCCCACATCACAGATAACATGACCTTTCCTTCTTTACTTCCTCCTATGGATATGCCGTATTCCATAACTGCTATCATCATTATCATTATCATCATCATTATTACTGACATCTTGGAATAATTTTGGTTTGGTTAACTGCATCAGAATTTTAGTTCTGAGTGTTGTTTATAGACTATAATACTTTATGTTATGGACACATCTGTGCTGTTTACAATAGCTTGTTGAATTCAATAAAAAACATTTAAAAGCAGGGTGCAAAGAAAGTGATTTTTACAGCTTGCCATTTTGGCAAGCTGAAGCTAACATTTACTAGCCCAAACATCATTTCAACTAGCCCCAAAAACATTTTAATGAGCAGATTGAATTCACAGTTCTTCTGTAATTTGAATTCCACAAAAGACTTCACTTGCCCGTTGGGCAAGTTAATAACAGAATTCACTAGCCTGATAGCAAAATCCACTAGCCCCTGGCTATTGGACACTACTTTCTTTGCAAGCAGAAAAGGTCATTTGATGCGGCTAAATGTGTGTTTCCAATATGTTTTTACAAGCTTCCAGCATATCTCACCATTTTCTCTACCACTTTTAAATTCCTGCAGATAAAAGTTCTCCCCTTAATAGGCCCACTCTAAACTCTTACATAGTTGCAAAGGCCCAACGCTTATAGCCACAATGAATCCAGAGCAGCACGCAAAAAAAGTCACTTCCCATAGCCTGGAGCTAATGGATTTTGCAAGTGGGCTAGTGAATTCTGTTCTTAACTTACCCAATGGGCAAGTAAAGTTTTTTGGGGAAATTCAATTTACAGAAGAACTGTGGGCTAGTCAAAATGACCCTTGGGCTAGTACACGCAACTAGTACATGCTACCTACAGCTTGCCCAAATGGCAAGCTGTAAAACTGACTCTCTTTACACCCTGCCAAAGCAAGAGTCACCTTCTTTTGGCACCCAAATTCTATCATTAGATAACATTTAACATAAATAGAACAGATAAGGAATTACAATCAATCACTTTGTCAGCTGACTAAAGTAGTAGTTCATTGAAGCTGATTGTAAGTGAAGAGTAAGGAAATTAAAGTAATAGGAAGATGCTATGGTAACGGTGAAAACTATGGTTTTGTATACGAATCAGTATTGCACAAATTCTTTTGCTTCCTGTTAAAAAAAACATTCCTTGTTTTAATTGGAATCAAAGCCAAACAAAACGGAAATTAAACAACTTGAAAACTAGTAGACACTTTAAATACATATCTATTTACATGACACATGGCGCTAATTTCTTATCAGTTAAAAACAATGAATATTTTTCGTCAACAAAGTAGACAACAATCTGACAGAACAATGGTAATAAATGTTCGAATTTCGTCACGCAACTGGATTATTCTAGATTATGACGGTCGAGTATAAGATAGGCGTACGTTTCGAGCAAACACATACGGCAAAGATAGCGGAAATTAATAGCTATTATTATAAACTGAGCCATTTTCCAAGTCTGTCATGATTTCTGCCCTATGAAAACAGTTTTCTTCGACTGTGCAAAGGGCACTAGAAGTTTATGTCACTCGCTGCGATCTGTGTTTGTCACACGCTGCACGCGATTTCATAACATTTGAACAAACGAATTACAGAATAAAGTACAAACCAAAAGGAAGCTCCAATATTTCGAACGCCTCGCCCTTTGTAAGGCCCATATTTTTATCGTTCTAAATGTCCTCTCTCAAAGTTCTGCAGTCGAGTCCGCCATGATGTATAGTTTTTCACGTGTAATATTTTGGCGCGAATGGAGAATGCTGGGAAATTTAAAGTCTCGTGACTTTAGTAAAGCCACGTGATCTTTCGCCAGCGGCTCACTTCACTAGTACCAGTGCTCTGCGATCCATTTACACGAACAACCTTGTTGAAATTGTTGAAATGTGTCTTTATTATTGGCGTTCAGACGACGATCAAATATAGAAGTGGGATTTTGCGGTAAAATGTGGCTTCCTTGTGCTTGAAATAGAATTTTCCGTTTTTTAATAACCTAGTGATAAGTTTACAATCGATATTGCTCGATATGATCCGTAAAAGTTTGGAAACGTGTAGTTGAAATCGCCAACTCCTCGATCCTTCATTTCTTGAATATATCAAACTGCTGGTTTCGTGGCGAAAGTTTGGATGGGATGGTTTATGCCATGGCTGATACAAAATCAGGACCTATTTCACCGAAGACGCCAGTCAAAGAGAAAATTGTAGGAATCTATGATGACTTCTTCAAGGTAAGTAACTATGATATGATGGAACTGGATAAACTAAGGTGTCTAAAATTAAAAATGAAGAAACTTGATGTAACTGATCACCTCGAAATGTTTTGACCATTTCACAATCCCGGATAATATGGAAAGTTAAAACTTTTATTATTGATCTGGTCCAGTAAATTTCTTTCTTTAGTTTGTCCTTTTCATAACTGGATAATTGTTTCAGAAACAATATACTCTGATCACACTTGCTCAAAGCTCACTGAATAAATATCAATCTGGTGGAAATTATCCTTGTCCAACCCATCTATCACATAAAACTTCCAACCTTCCGAACACTCAGACCAATACATTTGCATTCCAGGGATAGTTATTTGTTCCAAATTCTTCCTAGGAGGATTTCTCATCCAAAGTGATACCTTATTTAGAAGTTGGGTAATTTTAATTATTATAATTCAAAATATTTTGCAGTTCTGACTGGCTCCAGTCCCCCAGCAAATTCTTCATAACCAACTAGCGCTTACCATAAAAAATTATTTGAAAGATGCAAGTAATATACCATCATTCGTTGGTATATTTGCTTGGAAACAAGGTTGATCAATGGTATCAGCCTGGAGATGAGGCTGCTGAAAAATTAATAGCAGACTGCCCAGTGCTATTTCCTAGTAAGAATTTTGGAGCAATTGTCATGCAGGGTGTCTATTAGACATTGGCATCTATTAGACAGGGGTGTCTAATACAAACTTAAAGGTATATAGGGGGGCTTTTATTAGCAAAGAGGACATCAATAAGATCATATAAGGTAATCTAATCATTATTTGAAAATGTTCTTTTCATTAAAGGGACTGGTTCGCGATAATGCGCATGTGTGAGTCGTGACAGTAGCCAATTGTTTTTAAACCAATCGGAAGCGAGTTAGGTGCACGCAAGTAAATATTCATTGTTCGCGACGCGAGAGTATTTCCGGGCATTTGGTTTGATTTTATACATCCCCATAATTCAAGTTTATTCTTAGCTACTCCTCAGATATATGCTTATCAGCAAATGAACACGCGTTGCATCGGTTCAGTGTTCCCCAAAACAAATGTTATCAAGTAGAACACATAAAGAAACTAGATTATAAACAGAATATTCAGGCAATAATTTAATTTAAAAACATCAATTCTTAAACATATACGATCGTAAAGCAAAGATACAAGGAACATTTCAAGTGTACCAGATTGGTGAAGATCGCGCGGCTTGTTGCGGTATAACTACAGGTAGGAGTCAAAAATCAAATCAAAGCTGAACGAACTCATGCCTTTAACCACTTTCTAAGTGTCATGTATTCTTTTCGTAAGCCACAAACTACTCCTAGAACCATACCAGATCGATCGGCTAAGCTTCTCTATCTCCAAAGACTCTTGAGAACGTCCTGTTGCCGGACAGCCACGATGCTCTTCTGAATCTCCATGATCAAAATATTATTTTTCATGTCTTCTTAAAACGTAACCAGTCAAACAACACAAACACACGTTAATCACCACTACCAAAGTATAACTAGGCCAGCCAAAGCGACGGATGTCAAAATAAAACAAAGGATTTTCAATGATTGTACTGGTAATGGCGATTTCGAATTTAGTGTTGACCCGACAAATTTATTCTGAAGAGAAAAACGGCACGCATGCGCATAACCGTGATCGCGTCCCTTTAACATGAAGAAGGCTCTGGGTCAACTCTTTCTAAGATGGACACCTTCGGGACCTGCAGTATGTGTCCGTCTTATAGAGAGTCAAATAAAGGGAGTAAAGAAAGGAAGGGACCAACTCTGAGTGTCCGTTTTACAGAGGTGTCCGTCTTATAGAGGTGTCCATTAAGAGAGAGTAGACGATTTATTGGTCACTAACCACAGGGCTATGCTCTAGCAGTACCTGGTGGATCCTGGCGCCCAACTTTTGTTCCTGGGTGACTGGGAAAATCTCAGTTTTGGCATAAAAATCGTATGCTGGGTATAGTGGATTTCACTAGTTCAGAGCATTGGGCTCTCTGGAATGTTTCTGAGAGCTTAGCCTTGTATTAGTCTTTTTTACCTACAGAAAAATTAGTTCTCTTACAACTGTGAACAAGTTAGTCTGCCTTTTTTTTAGGGAGATGATCCAACCCGAGGCAGTCCCAACTTTTGGCATGAATTTTTTCTTATGAGGGTAAGAACAAGTGTTTTTACTTTTTGAAAGCTTGAAAACTTGTTTGGTAAGGAGAGGTGGTTACCATGGTAAAGACATGTCTTTTGGCTAAAAATGCGAAGCGTGTGTAACAATGTTACAAAACAAAATAAAACTGTACAGTATTAATGATTTATGCTTCAATAGCTGGGCAACAATAATTCTAGTGAGTAGGTATTATTATTTTTTTTTTTTAGGTCAATGCCATTTACCTGGAAAAGTGTATAGACAAGCTCAGTGAAGAGGAGCTTATGGATGTAAAGGTAAAGGTACTAACAAGTTGTCTGTTAGAACTAACATTATTTTAGTACAAACTTTCAAGAGTTTGTTATAAAAATGCATTGAATTTCTTAGAAATCTAACCTTGGCAAACAGTGATCAGTACTATAATGTGAAGTTTATAAGTCAAGTGAGTGTTAGTTATTTTTTTAATTCAATTCAATTTCAGGAAAATATCAACATATTGTTTGCTCAGTGCTGCATTGCATTACGAGGAGATCATCAGATTAAGCTGGTCAATGCTTTGCAGGTATACAATAGCGAAGGTTGTTTTCATGATACCACATTATACACTGGCCTGATACAGTCCCTTTTCTAAATGCCCCATGAGAAGACAGAGATCACCACCAGGGTCTACATTCCATGCTTGTTTTGAACATTGATGTTGGTTCTTTAACTTCCTTCTTTACTAATGATAACTACATGTAAAGGATGGATGAAGGAGACCACAGCAACAGCTTCATATAATGATCATACACTTTCTCTGCTCTAGTTAGTTTGTCTTGTTGTTAAATAGCATAGTCAATGTTATTCATTTTTAGATTTGTATTATTTCTGTAGATACATGTACATTTTTGTAACGAGCCTTCTTTTTAGGCTTGCTAATGAGATAATGAGATGATTCCATGACATTTTTCAGACACTTTGTGCAGTAGTTCGAGCAGTGTACAGAAAGAGACTAGGAGACCATGGGTTTGATGTTATTAACATCTTGATTGGTTTTGATGCTGCTGAGGCACAGATGCAGGTTTGTGGATTACAATGTACGCACAACCATTTGATATTGTTGTTTGATATAGAAGTCATCCCATGTAAAATATGTTTATAAATATAACTCTTTGTGTTGTCTATATTTTCTTAGGGGTTGTTGGAAAGTTTACATACATTTCTTGTGGGTGATTATCCAGGTAAATAAGACAGAGTCTAATCATCAAGTCAGCAGTTACCGCCACCTGAAATATCACTTGTCTTGTTGACCATCTCATTCAAAGCTGACAACAAAATAGCGGCTGAACAAAAATTGACAGCAACTGTTGTAATAATTTAAGTCTAAGAAGATGTATCTGAACATACTCTCCTGTTTAGTTTCTTTAGAACCAGTAACATTGTAATAATGGCTTAACTGACAGACGACTAATGATATCATGACTTAATTGATTTATCATGTCAATAACCAGAGTTAAATGCATTCTTCATCAAGTGACAGGATACAACAAACTTTAACTCTGAAGATGACCACCGCACAGGTTGTCTAAACGTCAGTTGCTGTCAACAACAGTCCTTTAAAGATTCATGCAGGAGTACACTAACATTGATGATCATATTTCACCTACTCACAGATCTTTGAGTTATCAGTAGATACGAAAATTATATGATAACTTTGTAATAAAAAAAGGTGTTAAAGTTTGTGATGTGGTGAAATTGTTCTAAACAACTTTAATTTAAATCTCTCTCTGTAGTGAGCTTGAAGAACCTGTCATTAAAATTGGCCCTAATTCTTGTCACTGTAAGTAGTTTGTTAGTTTGTTTGCTTGCATTTTATGTTAGTTTAGCAACAGTGTCTGACTAGTTAATCTAGTTATGGCTTTCTTGAAGGGAGAGCTGAAAGATCCATTCTCTTTGTACCTCCATATTGTTTTACAGTACTTTTTTGGTGGTAACAGTGTGTACTGGTATGTTGTAATTTTAGGCAACAGACAATGTCAGTCAAAATACAATTGTGGAGTACATTATGATAAACAGTATATTTGAAGCTGTTATTCAGGTAAGCTAAGAAGTTCAGTTGTTTCTAAAATCATGTCCATCACTCCATCTTTTCTCAATAAGATCACTTAAAGATGTAAAGGGTATAGAGATTTTTAAGGGCAGATTTTTATGAGGCAATGAAAGATTCAAGACTGACTCTTCAGAGGGTTAATGGTTTTAATGAAAAAAAAACTAATTCTTAAGAGAACTGAGAAAGATTGCTTTACCAGAATTATGTATTAGTGTTGGGTTAGTATGGTAATATAGCTCAAACTGAGGAGAATTTTGGGTGAATATCCAGCCAGAATTGGATGGGCCACTACATGTATCTTCTTTTTAACTACTCAGTAAGAGTATAGTAGAGTGAATATAATAGTATAAGTTGGTTATTTTTAAAATAATTTGAGAGAATTTAGCTACGTGCAAACCTCTTTGATACAGACACCAAAGAAATGAAGCCAGGTGTTGGCATCATGGAGATGTCTACATTTTAGAGCTGTCTATATCACCGACATGTTTTTTATATAACAGAGGTGTGCGTACAGTACAACCTCGATAACTCAAACTCAGACAACTTGAATTCCACACTAACTTGAACTAAATTTCCTTTCTTTTGATCAAAATTTCACTGAAATTTACCCCCATAACTCAAATTCCCCACTAACTTAAACTGTTTTTTGTTTCCCTTCAGAGTTCAAGTTACAGGGGTCCTACTGTATTATGTTTCCCCCCACTCTTTTACTTCCTATTCTTTTAATTTGAGTGTTGAAGTAAATCTGGGAAATGTGTTTTTAGGTCCTTGCTGATCCAGTAGCCAGACAGCAGCATGGTTATGAGGCAATGCTTCTTTTGACAATTCTTGTTAATTACAGAAAGTATGAGGTGAGGAATGTTATATATTGTTTCTTTCATTTTATTGTTTTTTATGTACTGGCGAAGGCAGGGATCGCAAGCTTAAAGAAGGGTTACATGAAGATGTTTGTGTCAATTTTGTAAAAAAGAGTTAGTCCTGACAACCCAAGCTTCTGTTTAATTCAAAGCAGAATTCTTCACTCATCTTCAGCTTACTGTACATGTTCAAATTGATCATTTACCACCCTACCATCTAATACTGATTGTTTTGCTAATTTGTAACCATAAAATACGTGTATGCTACCAGTTAGTAATAATTATTGATGTAACTGACCTGTACCTACAATTGAGCTCTAAGCTCCAAAAAGTGTCAATAATCAAGTCATTCATCCATTCATTCATTTTTAATTCATCTTTGTCACTGTCATCAACATTATCACAGTTTTTTTCATAGGTTGAGCCCAATATATGAACCAACAAAATTAAAAGATTAAATATTTAAATATGTTTTTTCTTGCATGCTTTTTAATCAGGCATCAAATCCGTACATTGTAAAGCTCTCGATCTTGGATGATGAGTTGGCCTTAAATGTAAGTTTAACGAATCTAATCCATGTATATCCTAAAACAGCCTTTGTATGTATCAGTTTGGAGCATGGGTTATTGTGAAGCTATTGTGAACTGTGCCATAACCAAATCCGTTCTTTTTTAGGGTTTTGGCTGTGTAATATCAGCTGCGCTCACTGACTACAACAGGTAAAGATCACTAACTTGTGCTTTTATGAAGAAAAGAGTGATAATAAGTGCAAGGTTAAGAACAGTTTGTATTTGTTTGTTCAGGAAACATGCAGCTATGCTAGAGCAGGCATCTGGAGGATTGATCAGTACCATAACAAGCTTTGTAAGTTGTGTATTATTTGTTTTGTATTTTATTTTACTCAAATAAGTACACTGCTCCAGAATAATTGCCACTGTGATGTTAAACAGCCAAATCATTACTGGTACAACTATAACTGCACAAAGCGTGTTCAACGGTGAGCACTTCTTTCTTTTGCTTCCTACCGTTATCTTGAGACCCAAGACAGTTCTATAATCTTGTTGCTTAATATGAACCCTGTGGTATCCTCTATGAGCACTCATGAGACCCCACCATGTTACATAAACCCTCCACTTAACATTGGTTAAAAATAAGTCCTGTCCAGTCATCCTTGATGAACAGATTTTCCTTTTAAGCTACATTCATAAACAAAAGTCTTGGGATACAGTTTAATTTGTGGGTGTTTTTTTAAATCCCCACAATGCCTATGTAACTAAATTATAACAGGAATGCAACAGCCAAGGCCAAGCAAAATTTTAGCTCTGCTTATCTTTACGACAAGCTACAATTTAATTTTTTCAAGCACTGACTTTGCAGTTGGACCCATGACATTTTTCTAACCATCTATGACCACTGTCCCTTCTCTATTCAATCTGAAGCCAGAGATGTTTTAAAGTATCAGTAATAACAGGCCCGTAGGCTGGTTTTTGCCTGGGTGGGTTCTTTTTCGCTTAAAACGGACCTTTCAACTTTTTTGACAGAAATCTTTCTAACATTTGGCAGGAAGCCGCTGCCCGTTTTCTTTCTCTTTCTTTTTGCTTGGACGCCCCATAGTAACAAAGCAAATCAACGGCGATTTCCTAGGCCAATGCACTCGATGCTATGTAAGCACAACATGGCGACCACTCGTTTCAGGCAATTACTGTTCAAAGATGGACGTTGGGTTCCAGGCTCAGAAACAACCAAAAGCCAACGGTGTACTGAAATATTTCTTCACTAAACGGAGTGAATACTAAAGAAAACTAAAGCATCGAGATTTGGAAGCTGCCACAGATCCCAAAATGTGGAAAATTTAAGAATAACGAGCTAATTATATGTTTTCAGTAATTTTTTTATACATGCGAGACATGTTTTAAGCCGGTCAAATTATTTGTGATTAGGCCACCGGGCGGACCTTTCCAGGCAGTGGGGGGTTCATCCGAACCCTCCGAACCCCCCCAGCCTACAAGCCTGAATAAGTGCCTTCTGTCAATAAGCATCGTATACCATTGAAATACAGTAATGTGACTCCTCTGAAAGAATGGTCGAAGAGACGTCACATAATTTCTTAATTTCTCCTGACAACTCCATTCTCTTGCTTCCTATTTAATCATGAGTGTACTATATCTCATAGGTTGGAAGCATGTTTGTCGCTGAGACAGAGAGTGCAGAGTGTTTTAGGTATGAATTTAGAGTTGTGATAGCTTAATCTCTGAACTGCAAAAAAATGTCACTTTCCCTCTTTGTTGTCTAACGAAATTTGCATTTTTCACTTGCACCTTCATTGCATTCAGCATTAATTTTTTATCCTGTGATTCATGTTCTTCTCACACACTTTATTACTGCATTATATTGTCAAACAGATATTAACAGTAATGACCTCTTTTGATTTTATCTCTTTCTGTTTAGCACCAATGAAGCTGTACTTCTTGCATTATATGAAGCAGTGCATCTCAACAGAAATTTCTTTACTGTGCTTAGTCACGTTACGGTCAGTTTAGTGTAGGATCAAAAGAATTTGATTTCAGAATTATTTTTTTTGTGGCTCTAAGTTGATACTGGGAGCAACCTCCAAGCCTTGACAGCCTTAACAAATTTCAAACATAGTCTGAAAACCGGGTGAAATAGGGTTGATGAAACTGTTAAAATTCAGAACTGGCATTTCAGAATAGTCATTTCAAAAATGAAATAGCAGTTTTTCTTGAAATTTTCGCGTTTATCTCATTTGTCTTTAGACTGCACCAGGGTCCAGTCCTCCTCCATCACCTACAGCAGCACCGCCTGTTGTTGAAAGAACAGCAACTGGTAAGAAGAAAGCTTAACTATGGAAAAAATGATCAATTTTTTGGTAAAATCTTAAGAAATAATTAATGCTATGCCAAAGTTCTACGGAAGAGGTTTCATTTGAATGGTAACATCACAGGATTTGATTCACAGACTCAAAAGTTAGAACTTCATACTAAATTAATTGTACCATGTGAAAGTACTGCTGAAGAGGTTTCATTTGAATGGTCACACCATAGGATTTCATTCACAGACTCAAAAGTTCGATTTTCATACTAAACAAATAGTACCATGTGAAAGTACTGCTGAAGAGGTTTCATTTGAATAGTAACACCATAGGATTTTATCCACAAACTCAATTGTTAGAGTGCACAATAGCCTCATCATAACCCTGTTTAGGAGAAAAACGATTAAGCCAGTGTCTGCTGTTGCTACGTGTTTTGTAAAGTGTTTCTTTTGCCGTTTTCAATGTAGCTGCAGTAATTGAGGATGTTCCTGCAGATTTGAGTCAACCCACCAATCTACTGGTTACTTTACTGACATACTCCTCAATTGCCCTGCAGAATACCAAAGGTATGTAATAATTACCTATTACGTACAGCCTGCAGAATAGGCGCTATTTGTTCGCGTTTTTCGGGCGAGCGAAAGCACAAAGCGGGCATGGAGCGCCTTCCGTCGTCGCACGTGTCTCACGTCCTCGCTCGCTTTGCACTTGCCTTCCCTCGAAAAACGCGAAAAAATAACACCTGTTTTGCAGGCTTTTGTTACTAAATGTGCAAATCAGTGATACAATAACTTTCATAATAAGCCAAGAATTGAACTTAAGAACCACATTGAGCCTAAGTCCATAGAGGGTTACAAAGAACCTGTGAACACAGGCACGATTTTCCCTCCTCCTTCCTCCTGAGTGAAAAATTGTCACACAAGTTTTTTTTCCCACGGTACTTGCCGTTTGCGGTACTTCTTTACAAGCTTTAGCTGTTGTACTCCCTTCTTTTGAACTGATTTTACTTTTCTATGGTTATGTTTGACGAAAAATTCATCTCAACAAGAAGCGTTCGCAAAACTAGTTTTAGTTTTTGCGCGATGAAAAGCTGGAAAAACTGTAAGTGCAATCGCAACTGTTGTATTCATCGTAATAACGTTTAAAAAATTGTTGCTGTTGCAGATGACAAAGGAATAAGCAATGCCAAACTCTGCCAGGTTATTTTAACGTGTATTGTTGAGGTGAGGGAAGTGATCAGAAAGATGATACTGTAATTGCTCTTTCTACCTAAAAATACTCCGCGTGGGTTAGTCTGCTGATTAACGTGCTTCTGCTCTTAGTCCAAATTTAAGAACGTGTCAGCTAGCGTCATTATAGTTATGGCTTTAGTTAACCATCTCCCGTAGTTTACGAACTGATTTGTATGGTTTATTCATTTCTATAGGATCAATATGCCAATGCTTTTCTCCACGATCCAAACATGACCTTTTCTGTGCCTCTTCACAGGGCGGTAAGTGAAAGAAAAACACAGTTTTGTCTTTATACTTTTGATTAAAATATGCTACCACTAGATGCCAAGATCTTTGATCTTTTGAAAATTTTTTCGAGAGACGTCATCGCAAGCATAATTAAACCAATAGTTGCTAGCCTGCGTGGGGCGGGGGGGGGGGGTTTCTATTCTTTCTATGCTCTAATCTTCCCCTTTGCTTTCTCTATTCGTAACACTCACATTTCTGTGGGAGTTAGTAGGTGTAATAAAAGAAAATGAATATTTATTTTATTTTTTTATTATTAACATAATTATTATGTAGGTTGAACTTTTATGTTTTTTATTTTAATAGATTTATTGGGAGACAATCCCGGGAAAGAGAATTCAGCGGGGGGGGGGTGGGGGGGGGGGGGGGGGGGGGGGGGGGGGTTTCGCTCGTTATTAGGGTCCTCTCATATCCGTCCCTGCGGTAGGAGAGGACCCTGGGAACGAGGCTGGGAGAAGGGACAATTCGGCGCGCGAGGAGTGGAGGAAAGGGAACGACTGCAACGACGCTATTGTTTACACCAAACCGACCAAACCCCTCTTTCCCTAGCCTGCGTAGCTGGCGGTTTTTTAATTCCTTTTCTTTAGTGGTTGGTAAAGTAAGAGAAACAGTGGCGCGAAAGCCGAAAACGAGGTCGAACCAGAAAACAGTGGAAGAGGGGTCGTGGGGGAAGGCAGTGAAATTTTTTAAGGTGTTTCTCTCTCTCCTCCTCGCCTCCTCTCCCATCGTTTTCTCGTTAGACCTCGCGCGGCCGTGTAAATACGAACCAGAAAAGCAAATCACACCAGAAATTCCGCCAGCTACGCCGGCTACCTTTTTCTTTCTTCGCTCGCGTCCGAATTCTCCCTACCCCTAAATAGCTCCCATTTGGTTATTTTCAGCAACTGTATCACAGAGGAGCTGTTATTGAGAAGAATGCGCCATCAAGACCACTGGCCTGTGCACTGCTAGGTATGTCCAAACAAAATAACGGATTTAAACACCCTGCTAGTTGAGCCTTTCTTTCGCTTGCTTATTTTCTCTTTTTTGAAGGAGAAGACAAAAGGAGGCTCTTCTGGCAGGGTTGTTTTATAACAAGTATCGATGTAATACTGTTCCTCTTATTGCAGTACTCTCTTCGAGATGATAAAGATGAAAGGCGGGATAGCGGAATGTACACCACGACTTTACTGGAGAACAAAACATTATACTATATTTGTAAAAAATAGACCCGTAACCAGGTTGATTCATGCAAGTAAACAAGAAAAACGACAACGCGTTAATCCACTTAGATAACCAGAGTAACGTCTGGTTTGTTATTAACATTTTTTAAGAGTTTGAGTGAGACCAGAAAATGTAAGGCGCTCATTTTTTCACCCCTGTTACTGTAGAAACTGAGATTCTCATGTGACGTTTTTAATTCTTTTTAGATCTTATGGTTGAGTTTATCGTAACACACATGATGAGAACATTGCCAACTGACTTGTACGGGTATGTGATTGATACAGTATTCATGTTCTAATTTTTGCCGTAAGAAATTCGTAGCCCCATGTGAACTTAAAAAAGCCAGCAAGGTTGTGTTTTTGCATATGAAGTGGACTTAAATATCAGTCCCTTTTCACCGGGCGAGAGGACACGTTTTCACGGCGTATTGTAGGAATCAAGTAAACAGCCTGCACCCACCCTGAAGAGGTGGTCGAACCGATGGGGTGGAAGAAAATTTTAACGCACTACAATTTGCACAAATTGTATTGGGCTGGTCTCCCTCCCAAACCATCTCCTTTCGCCTTACATCCGCCTAATTGCCTGTAATGTATGCATGTTGGCAAAACAGTCCTGACAATTTTCCTTTTATTTTGTAAATATTCAATTTTAAAATTCTTGTAAAATAATTCACTGTCGACTTAAAATGGCTTTAAGCCACTAAAATAAAATGTAACTGAATGTCTCTTTCCCTTTTGCAGGAAAACGTTTGGAATCCTTCATCGCATGTTGTGTTATCAAAAGCGATGTCGTGTTAGGCTAGCTTACTCATGGAAGAGCTTCTGGACTGCTCTCATGAATTTCCTCAAGTTCCTTCTTTCCAATGAATCTGTGCTCACAAAGACCTGCAATATCTTTTCCCTGGCCTCACAGGTTTGTCCGGCGACTACACGATTTTTTTGTGGCGTGAAAAAGATAAAAAATTTCAAAATTTGTAGACACAGTCGAATAGCTCTTTTCTCACACAAGAGGTCTATACAACTGAAATATGATAACAGAGAGTAAAACGGCCAGTTTCACATCAATTTCACTTTTCAGTCAGTAGGTAGGAGCTATAAAAGATTTAACTGGTCCAATGCCACCGAGGCATTGCATGTTGTTAACATGCGATAGTTTTACGAACGCCAATCCTGTCCTCTTAGGCGACGTTCTCTCATCCTAGGCCAAATTTTGCCTTTCATAACTTTACACGACTTGGGCACTGAGTGGTTGTTGCGACAGAGATAATGTTACTATTCGCATAGACGAGTGTGGGACTTGACTTACTCGTTAATTCTTTAATGCGTCCATTTGTTTACTTTCTTGTCGTAGGTTGTTAACATTTTCAACCTTTTTATCACCTATGGAGACACATTTCTCCCTTCTCCAACATCCTATGATGAACTGTATTATGAAATCATCCGAGTTCATCAGATCTTTGATAACCTCTACTCAATGGGTAAGTCAGTGATTTAAGGCATTGACGCCTCTTTTGGTCAATTTTAGTCCTGCATTTTCTTCACTATAACAGCTCATACGTAGCGAATCCCTCGCGTAATGTGAAATTCTAACGGATAGATATTGTTCGGGTAGCCCCCAAATCTCCCCGTTCAAGTATTTGTTGCTACATCCGCTCTACACCTACAGTTAGCTTCAAGAGGAGCTTAAGAAACCACGGCGACGACGGCAGTAAAAACGTCTCTGAAAAATGAATTTACGTTTTTTCATACTCTGGCATCACTTTTGTATTGCCTTGCCGGAGTTATCGTTTTGTCCCGTTTTCGTTGCCGTCGTCGTACTGGACCTTTGCTCAAGCTTCCTACAGTCTCGTGTATTTTCCCGCGGTTTGCAGCAGCCGCCATATATTTGCAATCTGATTGGTTCATCGCACTTACTACGTCTCATCCGATTGGGCAAAAACTAAGAGGCCTTTAACAATAGTTGATCACGTGGTGGTAGGATGTTCCTCCCTCCATGTTAACATCCCCTTGGTGGAAAACCCTCACAACTTTTCTTAGTGCCACTGTTAATCAGGTTGTTTGGAAATCCACAGCATTAAGACATTCAACAAACGGTGGCGACTGGAAAGACGCAGCAGCCCGTCTCGCCAGCTCCTTAGTAAATGTCAGGTGAGATGAGATGAGAACTATATTTTTTGGACTTTTTAGTAATTTTAATTCTCCATTCGCTTATTGTCGTAAGTCAACAACTGTTGTGAAAAATTAACCTTGTTTGTGCACAATTGAACTTTAGAGCAATCATTAACCATTTCACACCAAAGATTGATTCATGGGCAGCTGTCAATCATCTTACGTCACTATCTTCTGAGCAGGTACGATTTTTTGGGGGACGGACCTTACCGGTGCGAAGAACAAAAAAATATTCGTGCAAGGGAAAATTAAATGAAAACAAATTCATGCACGTCGATTATCCCTAAAAAAATGTTTCTTCGCTGGGATTTGTCCCTTATGTTTCATTTTGTATCTCTGCTAGTGTAAGTAGCTTCCTTGGGGAATTTTAACCTTTGAAAAGCAATCCATAATTAAGGTTAGTTGAAATATATCTCTTGAATACACGTTAAAAGAAACTAAAAATATTATCTTCTTTCACTCTCAATTTATGTTTTCTTTTCGTTATTAAAGAGCCCTACTTGGGTCTTACTGCCCTTTAAGGATAAAAAACGACAACAACAGAAAGACTATTCCACGAGCGAAGCAAAATGTCGGAATTGTAATGGAAATGTCCAGTTGATTATTCTATTACTCATTGTGTCACTGCGGATATCTTTCCAGGTTTTGAGCGTTATTCGTAGTAACTATGACACGCTAACCTTAAAACTTCAAGAGAATTTGGATCATTATGAAAAGTACTCCGAGAAACCGAAAGAGGCGGCCTTCTTTACCCAGCTGGTAAGTTCATGGATGAAGGTGCGGACGTACAAGAGCCTCACAGAGTGAGCTCTTGGTAGGAGATGTTATTGCCGGTCGTAATCTTGCATGTACATTTAAATCTGGTCATTTTGATTTCCGAGGGTATAAAAAGCTATGAAAATCTTTTCCGGCTCTTGAGACATAACTATGAAGAAAATTATCGTACTCACAGCAAACACAGTTTAATTAGGGGCCTAGCCTACCATCTATGTATCTCGTGGTTTACTGACGATTATTGTTTCTGCGATAGTTGAATCCAACAGAAGTTGGGATGACGCCGTAATTCAGTTAAAACTGTCTTTACTGCGAGTAAGAAAATTTTCTGTATAGTATGAAAATGGCCTACGAGTTTTTAAGAAACAGATCCCAACCAGTGACTTTTGAGTACCTTTGCTACGAGAAAGGTGTAAATATTCGCGTGGGAGTCCTTTGGCTTGTACAGACTACTAATCATGACCCCAAGTTCAATCCCTTCCAAAACGCATTATGTTAAAACTGAACTGGTGATGTTAACGTCCCTTTTTTGCCCTTTAGGTTCGTTCTATCGTGATTGATGTTCGACGAACTATACATGTCAATAACCTGGAACAGTTTAGCTTGCTTCAAGAGTTCGCCTCGATCCATTGAGTCAACTTGAGTGGTCGCAGAGCCCGGAACAAACACTGCATAAAATAATAACGGGAGCCCTTTTCAAGTTGCGTAGTGCGGCGTTGAAAGGCGTAAACATTAAAGCTATCGTGTTAGAAACCTTTGTCCATACACATATTGTCGTCGGTTTCCTGGAGATTGGCTTCAGTATTCGAAGGCGTTTAAAAAAAACACTGGTGGCCCCGAGATAGTTTTTTAAACACTGTTCTCTATTTCTGTTTGGGTGATCTTTGTACAAAGGGTGTGCAATGTGTAAAGGTTTAGTCGTTCCCAAACTGCTGAAGTTAAGCGACATAGGTGAAGTGCAAAGATAGGGCAGAATTTTTTCTGGCGGTATCTAGACAACAGAATCTACACGACCTCTATATTTCCAGAGTCGTGGGAATTGAGGGAGATGCGAGTGTGTAGCACAAAGGTTAAGTTAAGAGGGGGATTAGCGCTTCTCGCTGGCAACTTCAGTTTTCAGCATACTGTAACCAATGAGGGTTTTTTAAACACATTTTCTAATTCGATAATTACTAATATATAAAGTAATTCCTCGTGTTGGGAATCGTATTGTAGATTAATTGTTTAATCATAAAGGAGACGAAACGTCTTGACTTATGATAAGAATGAGAAAAAGAAAGAACTAAAGAGTTCGGAACAAAGAGCAACTGCCACTTTTTGGTGTTTTCCCCAACTTTCACCTGTTCTCTGCAGCTCTATAGCAAGAGTCTCTCTTTTTTTTGGAAATGCTTGGGTATGTGTTCTTTGATTCTCATATCTGCGACGATCGCCACAAGCGAGTCTTTAGGTCTCGTGGTGAAGTTATATCTGGTAATAACTTTGGAGAAAATATATTTATTAAAGCCTCGTTTATATGGGGAAAAGTTGTCCCGGGAAGGAGAGCCACCCTCCAAGCCAAGACAACTTTAGCAAACGTTTAGAGCTGACAACTGGAGCGACGTCAGCGTTTGCGCATGCTTTGATTGTCTTGCCTTACCCGAGTTGACCGGGTTGGACCAGGCAAAGTGTTTATGTGGAGTTAAGTTGGCCCGGCTAGGAAGGTGAAACGGCTAGTAGGGTCACCCTTCTAGCCGAGCCAATTTTTGGTTTCTCATGAAAACGGTTCGCCAAGTTGGCTTGCCCAGGGTAGATCCGGTGGACGAATGGCTGTTCTATCCGGGAAAATTTTTCGCTAAGTATGTAAACGGGCCCGAAAAGGTTTAGTGGGACAAGTACCATTTGGGGCAAACGAACGGGGAAATATCCGAAGAGTTCTCAATTTTTGCTTCCCAAATGGATTTAACATGGGTGCTGGAGAAGACTTCGGTTATTTAAACGAAGTCTAACTTAATGGGTTATTTTAAGAAGAGAAATGTTTTTTAAAATCTACACCATATGCTTTAGTGAAATTGTTCACGATAAATGGTGTATATGTCGTAGTTAGTTTTTTAACTCGGGTAATTTTTGTTTTCCTTTGGCTTGTAGGTATCGTAATTTACGCTAATGAAGTTGAAACAAAGGAAAAATAAAAATTACCTGAGATAAAAAATTATTACAACATATACATATAAGCGTTCGGCAACCCGATAATGGGTTAGAACGCGGTTTGTTAAATACTGGCTAAACTCTGTTTAAATAACTGACCCAGAGAGTTTAAAATTCTTGGCTTAAAAATTACATCGCCATGAAATGTTCGCTTATGTGAGCTGGTCAGGAAGGTACCTGTTTCCTAAATCGTGATAAAACGTGGTCCATAAACTACTGCAAGCTATGTACTGTTGATATAAAATGAGTTTTAAAGAAAGAGAAAATAAATTTTACGTTAATAATACACATTTTCTGTTGTAGACAAAATTGCGGCATGCAAGCTAGCGTAATCGTTGCATATTGCGCAGCAGCTAACCACTCCCTTCCAAACCCCCAACAGCTCCCACCACTAAGCTCAGTGACTAGCAAAAGATCACGTGTCCTCGCGGGAGGGTAAATTCCGCGTGCGTTAGATTAAAGTCCATGTCCTGTCTCATCCCCATTGGCATATCGTCTTCATAAGCTCCTTGACGCATGCGCATGCGTTATAATTTGTGCTGCGCCAAGTTACTCGAGGGTGGGGTTCCTTTTATCAACCACAACCAGGAGGACGGGGAAACCTTTTTTCCTTTGGAACTCATCCCTACTGGTGTTACGTAACGCGTGATGAACTTGGTCTGTCTACGCTCATTCAGCTTTTAGGCAAGGGAAGTCATTGAGATTAAAGGGAGCGAAAAGGCCAATTTTGGTCAACACTTGTTTTAAGTGAGCAAGCACTTTACTCAAGAGGATATCGCTTTAAAAACATAGTACAATATAGAAGTGTAAGCTCTTTAGTCTCTTTATTGATACGTTCGTGTGGTCAGGGTTTGTTTATAGTTTCTATTTTATTATAACTATTCAAGTTTTTTTGCTAGTTGTCAAAAACAGCATGAACTAAGACCATTATGCAATCATAGCCTGCGAGCAAGCTCTTCATTTGGGGGAGTCGCGAAAAGTCACGCGAGAGCAGCACCTGAAGGGAGGCGCGAGTTCGTCCGCCCCTCGCTCCTCGCTAGCAGGCTATGCAATAAAAAATAAATAGATATTTAAAACATAAATAGAACATAAAAATTAAGGTTATTCCAGGCCAGGCGGGCGGGCCGTCCCCCACCACCACTTCCAGTACACTCCCGTACTTTTTCTATTCCAGGGGCACTAAAAAGAGGTGAAAATATAATATATGGTAACCAGAAGCATAAGCATACAACTTACTGATGCTCACGAGTTGCAGAAAATTTTACACGATACTACTCGCTACGTTACGGTACATCTTAACAATGAATTTTTTATTTCGTCGGTCTCTGCATTTGGTTCACTTTCCTAGGGTTCTCTCCTACCCGTCCCTCGGAAACGGTAGTCCTAAGTCCACTCCAATTTTCACGTGTCCAACGTGCCTAATACGCATGCTCTCTTGCGGGTCCTTACGCAGTGATCGCAGGCTCGGTAAAAGAGGCCGCCAACGGTTCGCAAAATGGTACAACTTTGAATTTTATTGTATTTTATTGTTTGGTGGATGTTTTGACATTCTGCAATTTTAACTTTGTTTTATAATGGATTTCAGGATGACTAGTCAGCAAATTGTTGATAAAGAGAACCATGGAGTCCCTGTAAACGTGGAAAATAAGGAGCCACAAAGGGTCGTGTCGATATTGAAATCTTCCCAGAAAATAAATTGTCCCTCGGAAAAGAAATTGACGAAAGTAAGTAGCTTTGAAACCTCTGGTGTAATTTGCTTGATTTACGTTATCTTCAGTAGCAAATCAACTAAGTGAAAATTAGCGATTTTTTCCTTGGTCGACTAAGTCACTCTACTGTGCATGTACTTCGACCAGCTATTTGCCTTAGGGAGGCCAGACTGTTTCATCCACACGTTACGCTGCTCATACCAAGATATAACTTTTCTTATCGTATTCAAGGCAAGAACGAGAATTCCTGTTGAACTTAATTAGGGAAAATGAAGTTCATATGTTTCTCGGTCTTGTTGGCAATTGCAAGAAATGTCAGGAACCCTTATTTTTGTGTTGCAAGGCTTCAATCGCATATTTCTAAAGAGACGAATCCTTGAGTAACCTATTACATTAATCTTCCTTTCATCATTTCCCTTGCTGGTCATGATTGGCAGTTGTAAAGTTCATTATTTTGCTGACACGTTTCACAATCAAGAACGTTCTTTTTTAATTCTGAACTCTCCGCCTCTTGGCCTATGGATGCTGTAGTGGCTGTTTGTGGATGAGCAGATTTCTTCCACCCCAGTTACCCTTTGGAAAAACCTTTCCTACCCCGCTAAGTTTTTGTTGGTTCCTTTAGAAACAAATTCCAAATACGTTATCTTCCAAGGACACTCAACCTTAGCGGGGTATATTTGGAATAAAAATAGAACGTCCCTTTAGCCTGGGGCTCTCACTCCACAACAGAGGGGACAAAGAAAGTCAGTGGCACTGATTTATGGAGAATTTGTCCTTATGGGAGGTATTTATAGAAGGGAAATGTCAGAAAAAATTTTAATTTTTTCATATTGTATGAATATCAGACCAAAAAGGAAATGAAATGTTCTGATGAAAAATTTTAAAAGAAAAAAGTTATAAAGTTTTATTGAATTTGTAAAGTTCTACATTGTGTGCTTTAAGTATAATTATGTAAATGGAAGTACCTTTTAGGGGTTATTATTTTATTTTATTTTGATTCAGATCTTATGATATATTTTTTTGTTTACAATGTTATTCAAACTAGTTGTTTCTTCTTTCTAGCAAAAAGTAACCGACTTCTATGAGCAAAGTAGCCGATGTGTTTCGTTGGCCGTCGGTGCTTATTGAAACCCATGGGTTTGACTGTAATAAATTACATTCATGGTTACTTTATTTTACATTTTTAACAGGTCTCATTCAAGAACTCTCCAGTGCATCACACAATAGCTCCTTACAGTACTGACTTGCCACATGTGTGGCAGGAAATTCGCAAACTTGACGAAGAGGAAAACTGGACAGAGAGAACACAAATTTTAACAAAAGAAGATCATAAATTATATCTTGAGGTGGCAAAGGTGAGAAAAATGTATCAGTTACAAGTGTTTGTTTTGATTCAGTTTGAGACTCACTCAGAGAGACAAACTTAGCTTATTGTCCCTCATGAAATGAATTGTTTTATTTTAAATAATTAATTTACAATAAATAACATACTTTGTAACAGTACAATCCTTTAATAAGTTATTGTATAATAACAGTACTTGCTACTCACCCACAACCTATTTTCTCACGCTGCTAAAATAATGCTTATGTAAACATTTTGATATTTTTAGGTATATTTGGGACAGCTCAACTTGAAGGTTCAGCTTCTATAAGCTGAGAAGCTAAAAGTGTTATTTGCCCTGAAAGTGATAATACAAAAATATATATATATAAAATATATAATGAAGAACCAGAGCACTTGACGTCCTCATCGACTATAAGAGTGCTCAATAGTTGAACTATTTATTGTTCTGTTTTCCCTATATCTTTGATTGTAACCATTAATTTTGGCAGTTTCCTGATGATTGCCTCACAAGAGGCATGAAACTCCTGAGTAGCAATAAATGTTTAAGATTTAATCCAGTTCCATCACTCTACTTATAAAATATATATAAATGTGAAAGGAATGACTCTTGTTTTTTCTTTGGAAAGGAGTGGCTTGAGGAGCTCATAGCTGATTTACCCTGCTATAGGTAAGAAAACATATCGTGTCAGTCTTATCTTGTAATTAAGTACGTAGACGATCTAACAATATTGGAGGTAATTCCTCGCAACTCTCCGTCTGTAATGAAATACCTTGTAAATGACATTAACAGCTTCGCTCATTATAACAACATGCAGTTGAACCCTAGTAAGTACAAGCTGATGCGGGTTGATTTTTTGCATTATAATAGTTGCTACAGTCAACCAATAGCGGTAAGAGGGTCTGTTATTGAATCGGTGGAATCGTTTAAGCTCCTCGGGGTGTACATTTCCTCGGACCTCAGCTGGTCGACTCATTGCGACTATATAATAAAGAAATCAAACCGCCGCCTTTATGCTCTAAGAAAACTGAAAGCTTGTGGGGTGCAAGATGGGGAGTTGGTGGCTGTGTATTGCTCCCTACTAAGATCTGTTCTAGAGTATGCATCGGTAGTTTTTGCAAATTTACCGCAGTATCTCTGCATGGCTTTAGAAAGAGTGCAAAAGAGAGCCCTACGAATCATCTTTGGTCCTGACTTGAGCTACGAGGACACCCTCGCGCGTGCCGGGCTTCTGTCTCTAGAGGCCAGACGCCACCTGGCATGCAAGAAATTTGTGACGGAAACTATGCACGCTAGCCCGCTTTACCGCCTAATATCCAGCAGGGTCATCTTGTCGCAAACCTCGTATTCACTGAGGTCAGGACCATCATGCCATGTGTTACCTGGCCGAACTGACCGGTTCTCAGAATTCGTGTCAGTTAAATATTCGCCGTATATCGATTGTGTGTAATAATGTGTATGCGATTTCTACCATATTACTACTTTATTATATTTATGTCTTTATATTTATTTATTTATATGTATAATTGTATGTTTGTAAGTGCTTTGCCTGACCCTACCTGTAATTCAGAGAAATCTGCGAATGGTGGAAATAAACAAATATTATTATTATTATTATTATTATTATTATTATTATTATTATTTAACTGTGACCTCACACGCATATACTTGTATTAGTATTAATAATAAATATATACACAGCTTGCATATTTAACTTGTTGTTGACAATAAACTGTATTGGCTAATAATAATAAATGATTCGATAATCATAGGCAGAAAGTTACAGATATGGCAACAGCTCTTGATGACCTTCCTGAAATAGTTCATCCAGAAATACCTAGCATTGGGGATGTGAATGCAGAGGGTGCTGACAATATCAATGACCTGGACACAGAACTCATGGCAGACTTTTCAAAGTTGCAAATTGATCCTGGTGACTGTCCACGTACATTTTCACCCATAGGCAGTGAGCGCACATCACCCGAACAAGGTTTGTTGAGTTAAAGGTCTGAATTCATATACTTTTGATACTATTTCAAAGCAAACTCATCATGGTATTTAAGAAGATATGATGTGATTAACAAGGCTTTTCAATAATTAGATTGTTTAGAATTGAAAGCATGAAAAAGGGTGAACTGGTCTCTGTCTGATTATTTTATGCATTATTTGGCTAAAGCTATACTTTTAGCCATTGGATACTAAAGCAATCTTCCATCTCTTCAAACTGATTTTTTAAGCTTCTGTCACATACAGCAGCAATTCATTCACAAGAAGACCTGCGGTTTCTCTGCCTAATGTTACAGGGTCATTTGGGTGGTTGCACTGTTGGATGTTAGTAAAGGCATGGTGACTGAGCAGTGAAATGCGAAATTCAAGTTTTGTTAGTCTGGGTAATGCCTTGCCATAACATTGTTCTCTTAAACAAGAAACTTTGCTCCATTGTGGTTGAGTTTGAATCATTATTAAATTTATTTATGAGAAAGTATTATAGAGCTTTCTATCTGTTTTCTGGTTGCTCCTGTTTTTCATGAAACAGTTCCTCTTTCAGATAACCTAACTGACAGCAATGAAGACATTGACAAACTCCTTGTGCATGATGAAGCAACTGAAAATGCAGTTCTAATGGATGACGTGCTCCATACAGGCAATGAAAGAACAGATAACTTACTTAAAGAAATAACTAGAGAAGAACATCCTTACAAGTCTGCTGAACTATTCAAGGTAAATCCTGCAGATCTTGAGAATGAGTTTCAGGATCACAGAACTTTAGAAGATCTTAGCAGTAGTGAAAAGACAGCAGAAGTTGAAGATATGTTTAAGCTGGATGCTGAAAATCAAAAAGAAGAGGATGATCAGTTTGGAGATGATGCATTCAAACCAGCTAGTGAAGGTAAATACATGTTGTAGAAACTGTGAAAGGTTTGAACCAAGGAGACATTTCATAAATAGCAAAACTGTTAAGCTGTGATAAAAGATGTATTGAAACACATCAATGACATTAAGAGTCTTCATATCCAATAGCATCGTGGCTTAACTGAGAGACAGCCAATAACATTGCGACTTTATTGACCAATCCAGTCAATAACCAGAGTTTAATGCCATAAACTTGATGTGATAAAACTCACTTTGATGCTGAAGTTGACCACCATACAGGTTGTAAAAAATATTAATGTCAGTCACTGTCAACAACAGTCCTATTCAAGACTATGCATACTTGAATGATCATATTCCACCTACATATGACATGATACAGAGATCATCCTGATACATGTATATTTTAGATATTTGCATTAATAATCAATGGTAATCATAAAGTGTCGCATGGGTAGAGTCCCCTCAATTGCAAGTGATGCTTGACCTAATGTCAAATTCTCCTTTCAATTCACAAGCAAATACAGGCGAATTTGCAAGGAGAGACTAGCAGTTATACAGAAGTCAATTAAAGCTTTTCCTCAGCCACCCCTTCTTATTGTGCAATGAATTAAATATTATTGCACTGTTTTTGCCTCTTAATCTCTCAAGCACCATCATTTTGAATATTTAATCCATCATTAAAATAGCAAACTCACAAAGTTCAAACTGACAGCATGCTCAGACGTAACTTTAGTGATAAGGAAATGTGACTCCAACAAATAACATTGTCTCTTTATTTGTTTACAGCCATGTGGGAACTAGATTATCTTGAACAGTGTGGTACTAACAACACAAACTTTAAAGAGGTAGCTTGCATTTTTTGACCTAGTAGAAAATTATTCAAGTATAACTCAAGCTAACTCACAACTTTTCTAAAAGCAGACCCATAGAACCTTTTTCTCCGTTGTTAATGAACTCTCTATGACTATTTGATTAATATTTTGACTAATGAAGCCATTCAAATTTGATTGTAAATAGATTAGAACTTTATCTGTAATTTATAATTAAGTGTGTAGAGGCATTTTTAGTTAATATTTTTCAGCTGCACTAGATTGTGGTTATTTTAGGGGTATCCATTCTATCTTTTATTTCAACTACTTGTGTTCAACTAATAGACATTCTTTGTTATTCCAAACACCATTCCCTCTATAAATTCTTGTCCTCTTTGACTGGTAGGTTTGTTTTTCTAAGGTCTGATTACATGAATGAATGATCTAAAAATATAAAAGTTGACCCCTTTTTTGCCCTTTGTCCAGTTTGTATAAATTACGTGGATATATGTGTTACAGGTCAAAATTGTATTCAGGGGTCAATTTAATAAAACTCTTACAAGTTTAATTTACAAGTGTATCTATTGTTTTCAGACTCTACACTCAACACTTGTAGAAGTTCTATTAAATGACCCCAGAATTTAATTTTTGATCAGTAACATATGCAGGTAAACAAGACAAAATTAAAAAATGTCCTCTATCTAGAGTATTCTTGCATAACTTACATGTGAAAAAAACATACAAGCTGAAGGGGTCTGTTCCAGTTAAGCAATTTTTTGTACAGGTTACCTTTTATTTTAAGCAATGTTTGATTGCATTATTTATGTCTGTGAGTATCCAACGACATAAAGAGATGTATATGATGATTGAAAATATTTTTCAGATCCTATTCTAACAAGTAAATTCAGTTGTGTTATTATTAATTTGAACTGTAGTTTGTTTACCTTCCATTTAGTCTTTCTTCTTCTTACTCAGTCTTTCCATTTAAGATGTTATTTGTGCATTCCAGTGAATTTCTTTTATAAAGGAATTTTTAGATCAGCTAAAGTCATAGATCCAATTTTTATAATTTTCTTGATTATCTAGTAGCCAAAGCCATATATCACGCAACCAGGGACTTAGCTCTCTTCCATTTCACTCTAGACATTTGTTATGAATTATTTACGATCTTTGAGTTTATCAGACAGATTATTCCCTTTGTCACCCCAAATACTTTTACTGGTTCTCTTTCTATTGGCCTGTAAATTATACACATGTCACACACAACACCTGCTAAGAGTGATCTTGAAAAAACTATGACAAAAATAATAAAAGCATCAGAGGCTGAACCAAAAATTTTATGATATATTTCCTTCAAAAAATGCCTTTATCATAAATGAAGAATTATCTCATGCCTTTTGGTGAGTAAAAAACTAAGTTACATGCAAGCAATTTCCATTTGTGTTTTCTGACCTAGTAAATGTTGAGGATATAAGTTCTAGTTGTGTATGATGGAACAGAAATTTTCAAGCAGAATTGCTTGTTAAATGGGTTAAAAAATGATCCTTCAGTTTCCTGGTTTTGAGTTTAGTAATGTAGGGAGTAATTATTATTATTGTTGAGTGTTAGGCTGCATACTTTGTCAGAATGTTTGGCACTGATGTGGTGGTGAATACAGCAAAAATTGTCTTTGTTTCGCATTGATGACAAAGGATGGTGCCATATTCAGCGTGCAAAGAAAGTAGTGTCCGATAGCCCGGGGCTAGTGGATTTTGCTATCGGGCTAGTGAAATCTGTTTTTAACTTGCCCAACGGGCAAGTAATGTTCTTTGAGGACTTCGAATAACACTTCTTCACACTTTAGTTAAGACGAGCTGCTTTTCGAAAACCCCGATCAACTTTACTGCAGACCCGATCATTTACGATCGAAGTCGAACGGGCTTACCGTTCGACATTTTTACTAAAAGATTGCACCCTGCATATTTTAGTACTGTGAGAAAATTCTGCACATCACAATTTATTAATCAAGGAAAGTGGATATTTCGATTTCAAGGGTGACACAGAATAAAGAGCTTAGAAAGAGCTAATGAAATCCAAAAACAAAATTGTGGGTGACCACCTACACATAGCTTTCAGAGATAATAGCATTATGAAGCCTCCATTTTGTGAAAATTATCTTAAATTGTGACGTATTTTGAACCTCCTTAGCATTTTCGATAAAAAATGAAAAATGCATCTGTGGATTTTAAAAGATTATGCTGAGATTTTTTTCAAAATTGTTGCAGAATATGTTTTTTTTTTCTTTTGTCTTTTGCTTAACCTTGTCTCAGTGTTAGCTAATATTCTCATTAATTTTGGTGAAAACAGATATCTATAGTTAATTGTTAAAAAAACTGACTTCTTATCATTTACTTCTTCTTCCTTAAAACCTTAGAATTGTGTAGTTCTATATTTATTACAGCTGAAGTGTAAGATGTGTTATTGTTTCGCTTCTAATATTGCAGTCTGCCCTAGCCCGTCAGTCTTTGTATGTCAAATTTGACCCTCTTATTAAAGGAGCAAGTCCACAAAGCCCAAGTAAGAAATCTGTAGCAGTTTGAATAATTTATAAGTAAATAAACTTTTGGGATAATTGATGTTGAGAGATTCATTTTCATGCATATATTTCACCCTTATTTTCAGCTCAAAATGTAAAGCCTATTTTGCTTTTACAATGTTTTTCTCATACCATGGTGATGAAAGTGTCCATAACTTTTATCTCCCAGGATATTTTTTTGTTGATTGAAGGACAGAAGGTAATGGGAATTTTGAGCAATAAATTTATTGGTTGTAAATTAGTCTAAAACATCAAAGAAACGATTCAAATCGTAAAAGAACAACTGGTACAGAAAAGCCAAATTAAAATAGAAAACAAATTGGCCAGGCTTCTTCCAGTTTATATGAGAGGCCATTTTCCAATGCTCTGGAATCATCTTCGTCAGTATATTATTGTTGTGATTCAGTCAATAGAGTAACCCATCTGGGAAATTTCCAGGCACTTAAATAGTAGGGAGCGGTGGGAAGAAAAGAAATTGAGGACAAATGAGAGGGACTGGGGAAAGGGGCGAGTAAACCTCCGTCCCCACCCTCTTCCTTTTTTTTTTGTGCCTCCTTTTACTTCACACCACTCACTACTATCTGAACTTGGAACAGACTTGGGAAATGAGCATCCCCGTTCCTCCTTGGGAGAAACACCAGACCCAAGTGAGCTACTTACAGATCTTATCCTAATACAGTACTCTTATCTTTTTTTTTCTGTGTCAGTGAAAAACAAAGTAGGTGTGAGAGATGTTTTACCACCAAAGCCTCCAAGGTGAGATTAGCTTGTTTTGAACATATTTTTTTGTTTTTTTATTTTAAATACCATTTTAAGCCGAGGGGAAGAAGCTTTTTTGCACAGACTGAGTGACGAATTACTCCTTAATTTTGGAGCGAAATTTCAGCGTTGATTTACTCGTCACCATTTGATTACACATACTAATTTGAATTATTTTTTGTACAGCTGTGCTCCATAACATTCCTGTATACGAGGGCCTAAAATAGGGTTTCCAAATCCCGTTTCCCGCCACTATTTTTTCTTTCATCCCTGCATCCCGCTTGCTTGCTCGTTTTTCCATCTAAGGGATGTCGAAGAGGCCGACAGAGTTACCGTTCAGGAAGCGGATACCATGTTCCTCGATGATACGATGCGCCCAACACCGAATCGTGAATTATCCTAGTGCATTGTCGTCGTCCATCTCGGTTCCCGCCTTGCTAAAAATAATAAAGATTTTCCGCAAACTCCTGACCATCCTGCATCCCGCCAACCCTATGTTAGGCCCTCGTATACCGCCAGCAGAAAGGTTACGGTTATTGCGCGGTTGCTACTCTTTGCATCTTTTTTTATTGCCATATTTGCTTACCTTACTTAGCATGGGCGACAATCTGCTGTTGATGGATTCGCCAGCACCCAACCTTAAGTCTTCTGGGGCAGTTAGTCGCCGAGCCTACACTGATCCTTCTACAGCACAAAATGCTGAAAGTCCGTGTGGAGTTGACAAGTTGTTAAATTTCTCTCCTTCAAAGCTGAGTGAGGTAACGTCACAAAATTTGTCACAAAAATAAAGCTTTATTTTTCTCTTCCCCGGCCTCGTACCTTTCGAGCAGAGGTTTGTTTCTGGCATGGCTTTCAGCATTTACGAAGTCGTTCGCGTGGCTTGCAAAGCCATACCAGAAAGAAAGCTCTGCTCGCAGGGTACTGGCCTCGCGCTCTTTGCGCGAAAAGTACAGCTTTATTTTCCACTCTCCTCTCGTGCTTCGCGCGAAATGCCCTGTTCGTCTTGCGTGGTTCATAAAGTGCGTGTAATGCAGGCTAGGTCAAGGACTCCTGAAATAATAGCAAGACAGTGAAGCAGTGACTTACTAAGACGCCATATAATGAACAGTATTAGATGCAAAATTGATTCTTAATGTCTCTCAAAACTACGTGGCTACTCACAATGTTATCTTTAATGTCCTCACTAAAATCTATTTCTCCCCGCGACCTAATCAAAAAAGGCCTTGCAAGATTCGTTCTCATTGTGCGGTCAAACGTTTTGCAGTGACCGCCAGAAATGTCATAGACACCGGGCAGCCAGCGGGGTCGTAGCTCAAGAGTCCAAACATTCACAATTAGGAAATATCTTTCAAGTTTTGACGAAAGCTTTTTTAGGTATCCAACACATTCTGAGCGCTAAGTTCACTTCCGAGTTTCTAGTCGCTTTTGAAAATTAAAAAACTTAAGAGGTAGGACTGATTTATAAGTTGTTTTTTTTTTTTTACCTTTTTCATTCTTTACTTGTGATTAAAATGTTCCGTTTCCCAAGACGGAAATGAACGGTGCAGCGAAAACGTTCAAAACTTTAAAAGTGTTTTCGCGTTCTTTTCAACTTCAGTTTTATCGCCATTATTCAAACTATCAATTTGTCGGAAATGTAGTCAAACTCCCCTGGAACTGATTTCGGAAAGAGAAAAAAAAAAGTCGTTATCGTGCAGTGACGGCAGAAAAAAAAGTGAACCAAAAACTGTGGCGCATGTGCAAGATCATTATAAGTTGCCTTCTGCCTTTTTTCTCTCGCCCTCTCCCCCATCTTTTTCTCGATTGACCTCTATAAATTAACGAAACACGAACGAAAAACAAACCGAAAAAACATTGCCATCTTATAAAAGTCCATATTTCTAAAAACTTTCCGTGATACTGGAAGAAAGCACTCATTTCCTCATGTTTCTTGTAATTTTCTTTGTAACACATGAAATTTCGTGTTATCGAAAAAATTCCTATAAAATGCTGATGGGGTCAGCATTTTTGGCTTTCATTTTCTATAAAAAGATACAATAGCGTCTTGGCTTGATATGGTTTCCCTAGTTCCCTATTTATTTCATTTGTGATATTGTTGCGTGACAAGGCCTCTCAAACACTTTTTTTACTTTCTATGAAAAAGGCGTTTTCGTTTTGGAACCCGTATTTATAAACTTAAAAACACGATTTGGAAGTTTAACTCTATTACCCTGTGCGAGCAGAGGTTTTTCTCTTGCATGGCTTTTAGGTTTACGAGGTCGTTCGCGTCGCTTGTCAGTCGTGTGGTTGGTCTGTTTTCCAGTGCCCTGTTCCTGAAAGACCGATCAGCGCTAATCCAGGATTAAAATTTTATTCCGTTTTTGTATTTTACTGCTTTATTATAGAGTAAAAGTTTGTGTTATCATTTCTTTATCTCGGAGTAAAGGCTCAACAATATTTTGTAAGTTCGAGTTAAAAAACTGTTTTCATGCGCGGATTAAACTTAACCATCTTTCGACCTAACAGGTCTAACAAGCGACGCGAACGACTTCGAAAAAGCTAAAAGCCATGTTAAAAAGAAACCTCTGCACGCAAAACCTTGGCGATATATTTTATTACTTAAGAAATGCCAGAAAAGAATTTATATGGATGTGAAAGATTAAGTTCTGTCAAATAAATAAAAAAATGGGGTGACCTTCAAGTTTGCGGTCTTTTTAGTTAATTTTCTTCATTTCTGAGAACATAAGGTTCTTTTCTAGCCAATGACGAAATTAAACTGTAAGGTAATAAGTTTTCTTACGTTTTCCTTACCTTGTTAACATTCTCCTTGGTTACGAAGGAACTTGCAGCCATAATGATAAAATATTCAATGGCATGACTTTTTATTTTTGCCCATTCAGTTTAAAATGTTAATGTATTTAAATTTTTGTTTCTCTTGGCTCATTCCTGCCAAAAGGCGGAAACAAAAGCCTTTTAAAACAACCCTCCGCTCAGCGAAGATGAAAACATTTCGCTTCTAAATCTATTTTCAGGTTATGAGAACAGAACCCGAACGAAGGGAAGAACAAATTGTGGAAGAAGCGTATATTGTAGATAACCGTTCTACAACTGAGGCGAGCAACATTGAGGTCAACGAGGAAGAACCACGGCGTGAAAAGGTAAAACAAGAAATTAAAATTTCTTTGCTTTTTACATGTATAGTCAGAAAGAAATTCCTTTTCATTGATACTTTGTGTACTTTGTGTCTACCGACACTTTAAACGATAGAAACCTTTTAGAAACGAACGAAGGCGATTTCGATTTTAATAAGTTCACGTTTAGTCAGTGGGGATGTGTTTCGTTTATAAATCTCATGTGCTGAAACTGTATATTTTCGCTTGGATGAGCTAGGACAAGTACCGTTCGCCGTTCGTATACAAAACTTGTTTGCGGTGACAACCGAAAGCAGTGAAAACCAACGAGCCGGTGCAAACATCCTCGCCGTTTTTGTGGAAATCTGCTGAGATTCTTCGACTCAATAATTTTGCTTTTAAACACCAAAATTACGCACGATCCGCAGGCCTCGAAGTATCGATATTCAGGAAACGAAATTTTATTCCTTTGCTGAGCGAATATATTTGTTAGACAGTGCATCAGTCAATTCATGTCAGTTTTAATACCGGGTTATATCAACGGCTTGATTTGAATTAATTATTTTATTTTGACTTATTCTGTGTTTCGTGTTTGCTTTTTCTGTTCATTCTTGTGGCAAGAATCCTTAGGTATGAATCTAATAGTCAGATATTAGTCAGATATGTAAAGAGATAATTTAAATCATGCATTTATAACCTAGAGTTTCCGGATTTTCTTGATTCCAAAGCACAGCTTTTTACGTTTTCTACCAAATAGTTTTCTTTTTTTTTCATACGGGACGTTTTGACTCAGGCAACCGTATAACACTATTTACACGAAAAGTGGCGTAGAAATCGTAACGTTTTACTGTCCATCTTTGTACTGATTGGAAGAAAGTACAAAGAAGACCAAATGTAAGTCTACGCAGCGTGACTTGTCTTTCCGGGCATGTTATTTATATAAGACTTTCGTTTTCTTTCTTTCGTGTAATTCTCTGTTGTGAACTAAAGATTGTCTTTTCGGAGTGTGAATCTCAAGATGAAATTACAAGATGAGGAGGACATAAACTGGCAAAAAATACCAAAATGTTTTTGAGAGAAGGTGTTACATTCATTGGATGTATTCCACTGTTTTTTTTTTCCCCTCTTCTTTAGCTGTCACTTTTAACAGGTTTCTTGCTGATTCTGCCATTATCAATTTTGTTGTCATATAATGTTAATGATCTTTGAAGTATGTGACTGGTGTTTTGCGTTTTCTTTCGAGCAAACTTTAGATTAGATCGTTGACCTTATAAGGATGCCAAGCAGACCAAAAAGTAGGCTTCCGACCTGGTTTGTTTGTCAAACAACCTGTAACACCACTCGACAAACGTAGTAACGTTCCCGCCAAAAGTGTTATGGCGGGTGGCAAGCGACTTTTAAGTGGCTTTAGTCTGAGACATTCAATGAAGATGACGGTGTTTTCAAGTCGTGAACAACATTGCGACTCAACCTCAAAATTTTTAAAAAGTATATGAGTTGATTTCTTTTTCTGGCGTCGAGTTTACTTCCATATTAAGTTTAGTTCCGATAAAATGAGGGCGCCGTCTTTGCTGTTTGTGAAACGACTTCGTCTTTTCCTTGATGTGATGTGATCACTGTGATTGAGATCAAACAACAAAGATCATGGTTTTGTGGTCTTTTTTCAAGAATGTTATTTGTCTGGGACAATCGATAAATGAGTGTACCATGAAAAAGGAGGTTAGCCTTGCTTAAATTTTTATTGTGTTACTGTGAACGTTTTTCATCCGTAAAAAACATCGTTTAGTTTGTTAAGGTATCGTAGAGGATTTACATATGTTTTAAGGACTGTTTAAGTTTAATGCGGGATCATGGTAAGCAGACGGTGTACAGGGGGCTGCAGTAATGTTACGTTTTTGTAGTACTCCACGACGCTTCTTGTAAGTTAATTCAAATTTCCGTTGTGTTTTTATTTGACTATTCACCGTGGTGTTGGAATCAAATCCGGAATAATTGTGCGATTCGTGTTTACTGAACTTGACCGCAAAATCATTCATTAGTTATGCCGCTTTTCATAATAACGGTGAATGATGATTGTGCACGTTGGGTGTAAGTGTCACCATTTAGATGAAAACTCCATAGCATTAATTGTCTCTATTGGTGCTGTTTGTTATAATAATCCTGTGCAAGGTGTTTCTAACTTTTGACCCTATGGATAAAATTCGTTAAAACGTTGCAATTCCATTGAAAGATACTGAGAAACATTTACCTGTAGTACAGTAACTGTTTGTTATGCTGCTGGTCCTAACATACGAGTCTGACGGTTTATACCCACAATTTGACCATTCTAATGAAAGCTATACTTGTCCAGCAATAGTCTAGCCGCCCACGCAGAGGTTCCTACTATACGAGTTCCATCCCCGTTCCTTTCTTCACATGGAAGGAACGCGTGACGAATTCCCAAGACCGTCTGCGTGGGAGGCTAGCCACAGGCGTACAAAAGGTGGATAACGCTATTATCTGAATAAATCGCTGTCCAGCATGTGGAAAACATAGTTGGTTTCTCTAACACATATCCACTGGATAGCGATTTACCGCGACAGTTAGAGATACAGCTCAAAGTGTCACCAGTCAAATCCTGGTTATTTGGAGAAATTTGAGTGCCTTTGAAAGTGAAACAGTTGCGTCGCACTTTAAAAAATGCTCTTTATTTGAATGTCAATATATTTAGCACGAAAATACTAATTGAGACACCATTTTTACTTCTCCGACCGGAGACGTGACCAGCATTTTAAATGCTGATTTTACGTGGTCATCGGGGCTACGCGAAGATCTAGCTCAGTGCTTGGGGGGCCAAGTGAGTACCTTCATTTCTCAGTTATTTTAAGACCCTGAGTATTGGTCCGGCCTCGGGAATCGAACCCGCGACCTCCCACTCTGCGATCAAGCGGTCTATCGATAATCGACTGAGCTAGTCCGGCCGCGATCATTTTCATCAAATGTTTGGCTTCTGTGGACTTCTTGTCTCTTCTTTGTACGCTTGAATTAACTTTTTTCGTTTTCCCTTTTAGGCGCTGTTTTATACCAAAGAAGACTTTGATGAAGCAGTCAGAAGAGAAACTGAGGCCCAACGTAAACAGGCAAGAAATTGTTGTAACTTACGGATTTGATAAGGAATATTAACTCCGTCTGCTATTTCACTCCACGGACCCTTTGACCACAAGAAGAGTCTTAATAATATTAGAAATAGAGTGTAGCACGAGAGGGTACGCACGCGTCGCTCGCGTCCTAATGTGTCAGCCTGTGTTTTTTTAGCACCGCGAAATAAAAGGTGCAGTAAATTTAACGCATGGCTCGACTGTCACGAGCATACGGGAAACTATCCCGTTCCAGGCTCCGAGATAGTCGGGCCCGCTGAATTAAGAAAGCGTGAAGACGAAAATAAAACGGAAGGAAACTGGGGAGATCGCCCCGTCAACTTTTCGCGGGCCTTTTACTTTCGCGTCTTCCCCACTAACTGAGAGCCTGGAACAGGGTAACGAAAAAAAAAAGGATTCAACATTTCCTTTGAATAAAGGCAATAGCTTACTTAGTTTCCTTTACCGCTTTTCCTCACCAGGCGTTGTTTTGCAGCAAAGAAGAATTCGATGAAGCAGTCAAGAAAGAGACAAGTGCTCTCCGACAGCAGGTGAGATTTTGTGATCAGCATTCGTAATCTTGTAACTGCAAAGTTTCTAAAAAGGTTCTTGCACCTCTGGACCCAAGATTTTGGACTGCAAAACAGCCCGTGTTTTTTTGCAAGGTTAAAAAAGAGCGGTCAAAGGTTTCTGGGCTGGAGTGAGTGTAAAAACGGAGAGTGAGACTGGGGACAGACGAAAAAAAATACGGTCGGTTTTTCTTCTCTCGCCACACCCACGCGCTTCGCGCCTTGCATAACCGATTTTGAGAAAAAAAAAACCTTGACTGTTTGGCAATGTATTAAGATGTTGGATCTGTTCGGAATTTTTTTTATGCTGTCTCAATAAGGCGTTTTCCACCTCAACAGCTGATCACGGTATTGCTGTGAATAGTCACTTCAGGGATTTATTCGTAAGCTACTTCAGCGTGCTGCTCCGTTATCTTTTTTCGTAACGTTTTTTGTTGGTTCCCAGATGAAAGAAGAATCCGCCATTCGTGATATGGAAAGTAAAGAATTAACAGAAAGGAATGATCAACTTAAAAGAGAAACGGGAGAAATGAGGTAAAATGTAGAAGCCTTTGCTTTTCAAACTCTCAAGTATGCAACAAGTTGTTACGGTCATTAAATCGCGGAACACTGCACGCGCGCGCCTGCACAGTCGCCTTTCAATTCACGCGGAGACTTGACGCAAGGCAGGCGTTCGTGTGTCTTTCCCTAGCTCTGCCATCTCAGCGCAGTATTAGGGACAAGTCGTTGTTAAAGTTGTTGCTGACTTGAAATGCATGATATCAATTATATTTGTGAAGACTGATGTGAAGGTGAATGATCCTGGTTGGCTTGTTGATAGGATGATGTGATAAAGAGATGAGCGTAAAAGGATAGTCTAAGGGTGTAGGCTTGATTCCCGCTGCTCTCTCGGGTCCGGTCTTGTTCCTTTCCCGAACAGCGGCTGGTTATCGAGTCATGGTTCGTACAATGTTGAAAAGGTCTTGAATTTTAGTACTCGCCTTGAAAAGTCCTTAAATTCGGTTATTATTCTTGAAATTCACTGCTTACGCCACCCATTTTTTGTGAAATTAGATTATTTTACCGATTAAATTTGGCACATCCTTGTTAAAGGTAAGGTAAAAACATTTTTGCCCATGAGCAATATTTTATTTCTGTTTCTTTATTTCAAATGTTATGTCTGTACCTAAGATGCAGATGCAAGTTATACCCATTGACTGTTACCACTTTGCAAAGTATTTTTACGGAAAGTAGTATAAAGTAATGTGATCAACCATAGCTGAAGTGTTTTCGCCAATAACGTGTTTAAAATGGAGTCAAATATACTGATTTATTGAATAAATCTTAGTCTGCAATCTGTCCTTGAAAAGTCCTTGAAACTTGTTTGTCTGAAGTTGTACGAACCATGTCGAGCCCATTCAAGGCTGCCGCTCGCTCTCTTCACATCATCGTGAGCGGACCCTTTCTTCCGCTCGCTGTTTCTAGGTCTCCTGCCATTAAAGTAGCTAACAGCCCTCAAATCCTTGGCGAATTGTTTAAAAAGCTTTTTCAAACGTCCCTCTCTGTATTAACACCGAAACTTTTCAGAGTTTAGCCTCTTCTGTCATAAACGACCTACTTATTATAGACCTTCATACCTGGTCACGACCTTTTGCTCGTATATAGAATGATGTTTTTATCTCCGCCGAGCGCGGTGCAGTGCTTTGTTTTGGCAAGGATCGCTGGGAGGAATTCCACCGCTTAGCAAAGTAAAAATAAAAACATTAAACACGTAATGACTGGTCTCGAGGGAAACGAAATGAACTGTTTCCCGAGGGACCAGGGATTTGTTATATAGCTGGAAATTTTGAAGCTGAAAATTCATTAAAGCTCGCTGTAAAGGCGATCATCGGTCAACATTCGCGGGTAATAGTGCACAGTGCACTGTTACTCTCTGACCGCGCAGAGATTTTGGCGGGAAACAGTTTCATTGTTAGATGTCATGTGACCTCGAAGTAACCAATGAGAGCGCGCGCTGTTGGGAAAAAGTTCCCAGCTACATAAGAATTCGTGATGTTTCTTATGTACTAAGTTGCTCATTAACACTCTTTGATTACCCTCAGGGTTGTTATGCAGGAGTATGAGAAGACCATTGCAGACATGATAGGTAACTGTGCTGCCTTCCTTAAATATGTGGCTAGTATTATGGTCTGGGAAGACGGATCCCGATCCCGCATTCCCGTACCTCTTTCAACGATATCCCGAATATCGTTTTCTTTCCCAATCCCGTATCTGTACCCAAATTTTCCTCTTCCCCAGGCCAGAAGCAGTGAAATCCCGTATCCCCTTAAGATTTCCCGCAATCTCGTGCTTTATTCTGGTCAAATCCCGGATCCCTGGAATAACCTTCGAGACCCTGTAGTATTTGTGTATATTGTCTGAGTTTTCTAATGTGTTATGCTTCACACTTCTCACAGAAAAAAATCAGAAGTCCCAAGATCATTACCACCAATCAACATCCGAAGTAGCGAAAGAAAGAGATCAGGTAAAAGAAAGCTTTTTGTTGGTCACACGTTTTTATTAATCTAAAATTTCGGGGATATCACCGCAAGGAAAGACTTGCCTTTTCTAACTTTAATAAGCCTTCCCCTCCCTGCTCCCCACATTTGACCGAAATTACAATAAATCACCCCCTCCCCCCGTTCTCCTCCCCGGGCGCTTTTTCGAGTAATAAGGGAGTTTAAGCAACGACGTTTTTGAGCGACGCACGTCGACCGGAAGTGGACTTGTTATATTCTTGGACCTTGGTTGTGATTACATTTTCGGGCGAATCGTTTCAATGAGAGTAAAGACAGTTAGCAAAACAAATTTGGTAGCGTCAAGGCATAGTAAAAGGGAAAGGACCCACTTCCGGTTGGCGTGCAATAGTGCATCTCACTGTTATGAAAAACTAACGTCACGCAGTGTTTCCCATGATGAGGGTTGCGTGACGCACATCCCAGAGAAGGGGAAAGGACTCACTCCCGGTTGGCGTGCAATAGTGCATCTCGCTGTTATGAAAAACTAACGTCACGCAGTGTTTCCCCTGAGGAGGGTTGCGTGACGCACATCCCAGATGGCTTTTTGGCCGGAGAAAGTGTAGTCGTTCACAGAACAATAGGGAGCATTCCATTTGAATGTTTTTGTTGGAAATTCCTATTCTTTGTAGCTGCAAGCTGACTTGACGGCGGTGGAAACAGCGTTTTCTGATCTTCATAGAAGATACGAGAAACTCAAAGGAGTAGTGGAGAATTTTAAAAAGGTAAGAAAGTTACTGGTTTGTTATTACTGTAGGAAATGATTTAGCTTTGTGATGGGCTAAGGAATCTCGTGCCCCTCTCTTTCAACTTGTTTGGAGTAAGACTTCAAACTACAGTCGAACGTCTACTAACGGCCACTTGTTTTAAGCCTGTCAATAGGTTCTCCTGTGAGGCGAAGAGCGAACAGGCGAGAAGGGAGGAAAAAGAGTGGGAGGGGGACAGCCTTGTAGCCCTTCCGCCAACATTTTCAGTCCGATTTTCTCGCCTTACGCTGGAACCCTAAGGGCTGTTCACAGACTACTGAAGTCTTAGCCACTCTACAACGGCCATTTACCTCTCTACCCCGGGTGGCTGTTGTGGTGAGATTCTACTGTGATTCGAACTTGTGTGCTCTCGTTTTCCCGCGCTTGGCAAGTGGTTCATGCATCTGCCTCTGATTTGGTTTATAGGATTGTTTGTGCTCATTTTGATTGGTGGGAGTAAATGCTTTAGTTAAGGTTTTACCACACATTATTTTATTTATAGAAACCGCTTTATGTAAGAAAACAAGCGAGGAGAGGACTCAAGATTTTTCTCTCCAATGCCGATTAAAGCGAAGGACTGCTGTTCACTCAATGTCGAATGCACAAAATTTACAGAATTTCATGAAAGTCTGGTTTTATTTTCACCAAACACCTACATGTCTTGGTTGTTCATTGAAGGGAAATGCCTGAGTAATATGAATTGCACAGTTTTTCTTCATACTTCGCTTCCCTTCTCTTAAATATTTTTCATCCGATTTACCATTCTCCTAAAGGGGCTCTTTTACCATGTGTTTTTTTCATCACGTTTCCAGAACGAAGAAATATTGAAAAAAGCAACGACTGATTACCAGGAAAAATTGAAGAAATCAGAGGAAAAGTATCGTCTGTTAAAGAAACACGCTGAAGAAAAAATAGAAAGGTTTGTCTTCGTTATATGCCCCTTGGCATACAGTAAACAAATTCAGGGCTGTTACGACCTTTTTCATCTTGTCTAGAAGCCGTCTTTTATCCATCGCTCAAAAAAGAAAGGAAGCGCAAAAAAGTTCAAGGATTTCGCGAATTTTTTTAGGCTCTCCTCTACATATGATAGCCTAAGATTTATTGCAATTCGTTAGCCTGTGCAGAAATTGCCGGCCATTCAGGCTAGAATTAACTGAAGTACTTTATTAAACTACAAGTGAGGCTAAGTCTAAGATGGTACCTCCGTAGTAATTGAAAAGAAAACGCAGGGGGGAAAATTGAGCGAAGTTAAGATTGGAAGAAACTTGCTTCTTACTCTACAACTCCCTTGAACTCAATCTGACACAATACTCGCAACATTTTTCTTTCGTACCGATTCACCTGCTCCTTACTCTCTATCTTTTCCTGCGCTTCTTCTGGATAAAGTCCAACCTTTCGTCGTAGGTTTGACGGTTATTATAATTACTAATTAATTGTTTGTTTCTTTCAATTCGTTATAGCGCAAATATCGAAATTACTCGTGTACGGAAATCTAACGAGTCAGAAATAGCAGTGATGAAAGCAGCGCTCAAGAAAGAACAAACCAAAACCGCCAGTTTAGAAAAGAGTCTCCAGCAAAAGGTGAGTGGGTTTTGATGGCTTTTGCGGAGCCAGAGTATCAGGGGGTAAAGGAGAAGAGAAAAAAGAAAGGGGAGACAGCAAAGAAAAAGAAAATTCCTTTCATTGTTCCTTCCCCCCCCCCCCCCTAATGAAAAAAATCTCGTGAGGGAAATCACACGAGAAAAAAAAAGAAGAGAGTAAAAAAGGCAACAAAAAAAAAAAAAAAAAAACGCCCAGTTTTAAAAAAGGCTTCCGAAAAAAGGGGAGGGGTGTTTATAGGGTTTTGGGGGGCCGGCGAATAAGGGGGAAAAGGGAAAAAAAAAAAAAAAAGGGGGAACCCCCAAAAAAAAAAAAATCTCTTTTATTTTTCCCTCCCCCCCCCCCCCCCCACCCCTACTCTGATACTGATACTCAGAATTATTTCATATACTTCACACTGATACTCAGGTTACCTTCTTTATGGACTCTCCCTCTGGGAACTAAGTTACAAAATCGGGTATGGACTATGAAAGAGGCGTTTGGAAAGGGAAGGGGAAAGAAAATTGGGCGCGCGACACCACGCGCGAGCGAGAATGGAGAAGGAGAATCTTCCCTCTTTCCTCGCGCGCCCTTCGTGCTCTTCACATGACCGAAATCCCCTTTCCCTTCCCTTTGGAACGCCTGCCAGGGTTAGGGTGACTAGGTATGCATACCCTACCCTGTGTGGTGACAGAATCAGGCTGTTATGTTTTGGTTCCTCAACTCTATCTCATCTGAGCAATTTCAGGTTCTTGTGACGACGATGGTTACGTTGTTTCCAATCAGCTCTTTGACGTTTTTGTTTCTGTTACAGGTATCCGAGAATGCCGAACTTACAGCGATATGTGACGAACTTATCAACAAAATGGGTGGCCATCGATAGTCCGTGGTACTGCCAGTGACTGGTCTATGGTCTTCGTCTCCCGACGAGTTGTTAAAATGTATTATAGTGAAGTTGCTTTTCAAGGGATATGCTGAACAGATACATTACACCTAAACTAGCGTCCAGTCCTCCAGGGGCTTTTCAAATTTGGACGATGGAACACCGGCAAGCTTGCAGCAGAGTTTTCTGGACCTTTTTGCCTGCCAACAAGTTAGACTATTTATTATCAGGCAAACCTTGAAAATTTAGGACCTGAAGCCGTTATGTGTTAGCCACCTCCGCCAATATCTGCACGACAATAATTGGCGTTTTGATTACTCTGTGAGACACTGTGGGACATGGTCTGTTCGCAAAATTTGTCTGAGATCACCTGTAGAACTACGGTAATTTAACTAAGTAAAGCTTATACTGAGAGTTTCTCTGAGTGCAAACTCTATGTTTGCATATAAATCATAAAGGTAGCTTGCGTGTTAGAAAAACAGAAGTAATCACCCGGACCTTGGAAGTCAGTAATCAGCGTACGTTGCTGTTTTATTCAGTACTAACAGTGTAAAATCCTAAGAAATGCATGAAAGGCGCTATGCAAAAGATCTAGCAAAGAGTTTTCAGTTGACTACAATTGAAGTAACATTTGCCTGTTCCCTAGGCCTATTCATTCTGGGTCACGTGGTCCGAGCGAGTCTTTGAGCCGTTTCTCTCGGACACGTCACTGAAATGCATTGACCGAGAAGGCCTGGGAGGACGCCATACAGGGACGAGGCAATGGTAATATCCACAGTTTCATAAGAGAGGAACTCATGACCCTCTCTTGTCTCACACAGATTCGGGCTAGGAATAAAAGGGCTTTCGAGACAGACACCTTACATGGAAGAAATTCACACCTGTTGCGAGAAGTAAGATAGTGGAGAAGAGTGAGCAAATGTTGGAAGATTGAAAGTTGTCTTATCCATTGGGGCAGAAATTGTACCCCATTTTTTTGCGTAGACGTGTGTTCCGCGCTCTAAATGAACCTTTTTTAATAAGCTTATCTACTCAATGAAACAGGCTAAAGGTTACGTAAAATGTACAGATGTGTATATAATGCAGGCGAAAGACTGCCCTCCCACTGTACACTTCTGTGGGAATTTCCTGTCTCCTTGATTTGTTTCGTAGGAATTCGATGATACATGTCAGACGTTTTGCATTTTCCTTTGCTTTTCACTATTCTGAATGAAATGCAGCGGAGTCGATTTATGAGACAAAGGTATTCTTTTAAAGTAGTTGTTAGAAAATTGGAACTTTATAAGCAACAGCAACATTTGTCATGTGTTAACTCGTTACAAGATAATGCTACCCTTTGTCGCAAAAAATAGTTACTAAACTACAGGTTTGATAACCAAAGCAATTGAGCTTGTAATTCTTTTTTTTTTTTTAATCGTGGAACTGTACTTGTGTGCAAAGTTTGTATATAGCCTGTTCTTTGCTTGTCTGAAATTTGTCTACTTAACTTTCAATTGTAAAACCCGTTGGTCGTTAGTCTTTACTAGACTGACAGTTGAGGACACCTTCTGCCTTTGGAGGGTGTTGTACATTCCTTCTAGGGTATCTTGGTAGCTGAAAAAAACCTGGAGATAGGTGAGAGTAAAAAATGACTATGTAAAAGAGAAATTTCATTTATATTTAATTTTGTAGGATAGTAATCACCAAGGCTCGGGGCATGTCCCCTAACGAGATCTTTTTTTACAGCTTTGTTATGACAATCGTTCATAATTCTGCCTGTCAATCTTTTTGGAGAAACCCTCAAATTGGCGCTAGGGGCCCTCGTATATTTATTAAACCAAAGTGGTTTTGCTGGACATAATAGTCCTTTCATTTCTTGTGGGTTCCAGTTTTCAGAGTCTGATGGGTGGGCTAAGGACGTCTGTTTCGAAATGAATGTGAAGATTGATAAATATATTTCTTATTTTTTGTGAAGGTGTTTGACAATAAACTGCGATAAAAATATTAGAAATCTGCTGAAATTATTTGTTGATTATAGTCTGTGTACAGATGCCCCCTCCCCTAAAAAAATAAGGCAAAGAGACGTCTGTGAAGCTATTCATATTTATAGAATGAAAACCCTATCCTGCATTGGGGACGCTCAGCTTTCTTTAGGGGCGCAAGACACCCCAGAGGAAGGAAAAGAGTGGGTGACTTATCCTTGTTACCCGCGCCCCCTTAAAACACCTGTTGTGTTAGTATGTGTAATCAAATGGTGACGAGAGAAATTAGGGAATAATTTCACGCGCGTTTTGTTCAAATCCTTATCACCAATAACCACCAATTATCACCATATCATCACTTATCCTTTAGGCGAGGAAAATTATTAGGATTTGGACAAAACGCAAGTGAAATTATTCCTATAATTTCACGAGTATACCATTTGATTACCTGTTAATATCATGGGTGACTAATTACGTTACCAATCGAGGATTTTTGACTTGTTTATCCTGGATCGTATCGTAATCGATCGATCGTGAACTCCACTCTCTCAAACGTTAAGAGCTAAATTTGGCTTAAGTTTTCAGAATTTTTCGACAACAGACCTCTAGGAATCCTTCTTGATGTGCTCTTTCGTGTGTTCAGGTTTTCTAAAGCGTCTTTTTATCTTCATACGCTCTTCTCACGTATGGTAATATGCCCGTCTAACCTCGTTTTTGAGTAAAAAATCCTTTGAAATGCTAATCAGACGACGTTTTCGTATTTGAATTTCAAAAGAATTTTTACCCGTAAACGAGGTTNAATTTCACGCGCGTTTTGTTCAAATCCTTATCACCAATAACCACCAATTATCACCATATCATCACTTATCCTTTAGGCGAGGAAAATTATTAGGATTTGGACAAAACGCAAGTGAAATTATTCCTATAATTTCACGAGTATACCATTTGATTACCTGTTAATATCATGGGTGACTAATTACGTTACCAATCGAGGATTTTTGACTTGTTTATCCTGGATCGTATCGTAATCGATCGATCGTGAACTCCACTCTCTCAAACGTTAAGAGCTAAATTTGGCTTAAGTTTTCAGAATTTTTCGACAACAGACCTCTAGGAATCCTTCTTGATGTGCTCTTTCGTGTGTTCAGGTTTTCTAAAGCGTCTTTTTATCTTCATACGCTCTTCTCACGTATGGTAATATGCCCGTCTAACCTCGTTTTTGAGTAAAAAATCCTTTGAAATGCTAATCAGACGACGTTTTCGTATTTGAATTTCAAAAGAATTTTTACCCGTAAACGAGGTTAGACGGGCATATTACCATATGTGAGAAGAGCGTATTCATGACATTTTAAAACTTCGTCGCCATCTTGAAACGGAAACGTACGGCAGGTTGCCATGGCAATTTAGTAATTTCACATGTGAAAATTTCGCGCCAAAATTAAGGAGCAATTCGTCACCTATGATATTAGCCTGCGAAGAGGCTCACTTCTGCGAGTTCAGGGGAAATTTTTCTCGCCCTATTCTTCTCGTGCACTGGCAGCTCTGCCGCCAATATTTTCCCCGAACCTTAACAAGTCAGTCTGCTCGCAGGCTACTAGTATGCGGGCTGTCCCAGTCTCCAGCTGTTTGTTTCTCGAGGCACTCTCGATTTTCCAAAGGTTAGAATTAGGTAACATCGGCTGAAGTCAGATTGTTTCTTTCAGTAAAATTACATGAAGAGCAACTGAAGTCCAACTTTACTGTGTAATGTAAAATAAAATAGAAAAAAAATCCACCGTAATGCTTTGAACCCGGGTCACATGCTTTATAGCCTACATCAGAAACTCATAAGGGTTTCTGCCTACATCCATATCCACTACACCATCGAGGTCCAATAAATTTTAAAATATACATGTTCTTATGCCGCACCCCATTACAATATTTGAAAGCTAACCGTTTTCAGTTCAGTGCCTAACCCTAATCACTGCAGATCAGTGCTTAACTCTCTACTGTGTTCTCTCCATAACTGGCACTCTGTAGTTTTGGTTTCTTCAGCTATTCTAGCCTCATTCTACATTCCAGTCTCGTTCCATTATGGAAATAATGCGTTGTGTAAAATTCATAAGGTGCCCAATCTGGCTTCACTTGATGTTATCTAACGTTAACCTTTTCCCAACTTGTACCCACTGCCAGACTCCTGTCGTATCCAGTCGCTATTTATGTGTTTTGGGAGTATGAGAAGATTGGGGGTTAGGTTGAAGCGTGCGAAGGGTTCCCATGAGACCCCGCGCGCCCCTTCAACCTAACCCCCAGTCTTCTCTCACCCCCAAAACACATAAATAGCGACTGGGTACGAGTCTGATCCACTACAAGCCTACAAGCAAGCTCCGGGGTCTCCGTGGGTACGGGGGGGGGGGGGGGGTACCCCCCCGGGGGGCCCCAGGGGGGATTCCCCGCGGGCTCCGCGGGAAACGGGGGCTGGGTCTTTTGCTTCCCGGGGGGGGGGGGGGGGGGGGGGGGTGGTACCCCGCCAGAGGGCCCCAGGAGAGATTGCTCGCAGGCTTCGCTGGAAACTGAGGCTAGGTCTATTGCTATTGTTAGCCTGGTTTACAAAAAAATACACCCTGAAACACGAATGATCTTAAAAATGCCCTTGGATTTCAAATGTTCAAGCTAAACTATAGTCTCCCTTGCAGCCGTTTTTGTCTCGTCACGCGACGCCTCTCCACAAATAATGATTAGGCCATTGGGAGTTGTATTCGGTCCATTTAACATTAATACGTATCTATCTAACTGAAAAAACACAAAAATATATATGTCACAAATTAATACAGTAAGTTATTAACTTAAAATAAATGATTTCTCCCTTCTTCCTTTCCGGATTGCTTGTGCCTTTATTTTCAGTTTCCTCCTTACCTCTGTTTTTTGGTCGTGTCTCTGTTGTCCGTTAAGTTTTCCCTCTTTTTTAAAAAAAAAAGCTTAAAAGCTTATTCAGACCGTCCGTTCCCCTCAAATACTATAATTTCCTGCTATCACTTGTAGATTCAGAGTAACAATCAACCTTTGCAACAATCTAAGCTATTTTTTCCCCGCCTTCGCTCTCGCGTTTGTCTCTCCACGTCCGCCTCGTGCTCGCCTGAAAAGGTAATGGTAATTGATAGGGTAAATCACTTGTTTCTCCTGTCGAACCGACGAACTTGTTTACACATGCAAAAGTGGAAACAATTGAACAATTGTTTAGAGTCAATAGCTTCAACTCCAAAAGAAAGCGTTGACACGGCTGAACTGAACTAATCGTTGTATAGTCAGGAGCCGATTACTATCGGCTCCTGGTATAGTATAGTAACCTGTTTTGCAGCTGGCCCACGCATAGTCTAGATCATTTGTATAGTGGGTTTACAGAGTCCGCGACGCAGGCTTTTGCAAAGCGGTGGTTGAAAGTGTTGGGAGATTTTTTTATAGTTTTATGGTGTTTTGCACTTTCTACCATATTGGATGCTGTCAAGTTCCGTTGGTACGTGAGCTCTTTGAGTCTTCACTAGACTTTTGCCGCTTCGCGGCCAAAAAAGGCTCTCTCCGCTCGCCAAGAGGTCGACTTGTAGTAAGTCTAAGTCTTCACTAGACTTCCTCGAAGTCCTTCGCTTCCCGTTTTCGGTTCCGTAGATGGCCAGAGCTCTCGCTATCTCGCTAGCTTGCGTAGCAAGCGTTTCCGTGCTGTTTCGAGAGTCAAAGACCGGGAAACAAAGACCGCGCGAAAAATTGGCGCGAGTAAGCGAGGAGGGGGGTGGGGAAGAAAGGAAGGAAACGCTCCCCCTCCCCCCTCTTTCATTTTTTAGCTCTCGTTTCATTCACTCGCGCTGCCAAAACCGAGAATCTCGTTCCTCGGTCTTTCTTTGCTCCGAAACAGCACAGAAACGCTTGCTACGCAGGCTACTATCTCCCTCGTAGACTTGCCTACAAGTCGATCTCAATTTTATCACGAGCGCGAAGCGCGAGCGGTAGACTTTTTATGTTTTCTGCGGTAAAAGCGAACGAGAGAGCGAGAGCTTTCGCGCTGGGGCCAACTCAAGAACCGGAAATGAGAAGCGAAGGACTTTGAGAACGTCTATCTCGCTTGCGTTTGCCGCGGAAAACATAAAAAAAATCTACCCTTCGCGCTCGTGAAAAAATTTGAGCTCCACCTGTAGGCAAGTCTACCGCTTCACAAGCACCGAATATCCGGTGCAAGGACAATAGATTTTGTATTAGCATTTATACTACTACATGAGAAATTACTGCAATTTAATTGGCTTAGAGCAGTAGTATTTCAGCTTAATTTGAAATACCTACATCTGAAAATTACAAATCTTTTGCGGGTAGTAGTATAAACAAATAATAGCATGATTTGTACGTGATATTTGGCATAAATACCACACGTGATATTTCAAAATTGTTTCAAATTTCACTCGCCTAACGGCTCGTGAAATTACGTATAACAATTTTGAAATATCTCTCGTGGTATTTATGCCAAATATCAATACTAATCATGCTATTACCTATACAAATTCGACTAGCCTGTGAACAGGATAAAATCCACCAACATGTGCAAAGACTCCTTTGAACATTTTAATCCTTTCTTGATAAGACCAAAAAATACAGCAAATCTTTTAAATATAATAGATAACAACAACTTTATTGACTTTATCTTCGACATAAAGAACAGCATAACAATAGAACAATAGAACAATAAAACATTATAGAAGCATATTTTTATTACCAGGCAACAGCATGTTATTAAGCTTTATCAGCTTTATCAAAAAATAAACTCGAACTCGCAAAGGTGGGCCTGCTTGCAGGCTAATCCATGTAAAGTCTGTTGGAAGTTGGGATCTTAGATTTAGTTTCAATTTGTACCATGTGACCGAGTTTCTCCTTACTGGTCATCCCAAGAATCTCTCTGTGGTGACTGATGTTACAGCTGACACGCCAAAACGGACCAATCATATTCTGCTGCTGAAACAAAGACGCTTGTAGTTATTCAAATTACACCAGCTGCCCACCGGCTGGTCATTCATCGG